TCCTTGGTTCGAAGAGCTGCGCTGTTATTCCGCCGGAAAAACAAATTTGATGAACGAAGGAGGGAGAAGAATGCTACCAGGCAAGCCGCCCAGAACGTTTTTCTCAAAGCGAGCGGCAAACAATGCAGATTCTTATGAATCGTGCGCAAATGGCAAGGAGAGATGGGGTCACGACGATTCGGGGCAAGGTGGCGAGAACGACGAAGACCTGCCAATGATTCCTTGATGGAGAAATGTGACAAATCTGGGGCTTCGAGATTGTGCTCGTGGTGAAAAGGAACTAATGCCGAGACATAATTAGAAACAGTGTTGAATTCCAATTCGTCGGAGAGATGCGCGATGTATAGGCGTACAGTGTCGACGGAAGCTGGCAAGGCAAGTAAATTGAATTGTTTGCAAAACTGAAGATATCGAGACCACTGCTTCTCACGCGTCTGCCATGTGTAGAGGGAGTCATGGATCGTTTCCGCAAACTTTTCGATCGATGCTCCAGAGCCGACATGAGGATACCTGGAAGTAGTGTTTCCTGGTAACGAAAATTCACGGAAACGCGGGTACATGCCGGTAAAGGTGTTAACAAACTTATTTGACTCAAGCACCCGACTAAGAGCATCTGCTGCGGTGTTGGTTGCGCCGGGCCGGTGATGAGCGCGGATTCTAAAATCGAATTTTATAGACGCGTAAAAAATAAGTTTCAACCACAACATCCCGAATGCATTGCGGGAACATCCTCGGTTGGGAAGGCAACAGTCGCGGCGTTATCGGATTCGATGATGACCGTACTTCGGTGAAATAGCGGGGACCAAACGAGGACCGCAACACAAGCACAAATGAGCTCGAGGAAGTTGATGTTGCTCGCCACCGATGCGTCCAAAACCGGTGTAGGCAACCAGCATTTGTTCAACACGACTGGCGGTAATGATAGAGGATCCCACGATCCCAGTAGCCAGGTCACCGAATACAGCACCGAAGCCGCTAAACGAAGCATCGGTGCTAAAAGTTATTCCGCCGAAGTAACCCTAGAGAGCAGGGGATGAGACCGTTCATGCCGGAAGCGAACTGAAACCACCAGCGAAATTTTTTTTTGCAGCGGGACTGTGATGCGAGTTCGGTGGTTTGCGCTTTTCAAGGCGGAAATGCAATCGATGAACATCCTGGAGAAAGTCCGCGCACCGTAAATTGCGCGTGAGGCAAATGAAATGTGGCCCAAAAATTTCTCCAGTTCCAGCCGGGTGACCTTTACGTAGGTAAACGTGCGAGCTGATTCCACAGTAGCAGGGGGAATGATGAAGATAACAGACGTCTGTATAAAATAATAACTGACGATTTATGCAGAACGCTGCTAAAGGTCACTGGCCAAACTTAACTGTAAAAAAATTTTTAAAATTTTCTTAACTGCAAACAACTGTGAACAACAGCGCAGAATGCTACCGCTCGCACTTATATAGACACACCACTATACACAGAACATGTGCTCAGCAACAACCAGGATGCGGCGCCGTACGTCGCAATACGCGGATTCTCCGGTGCCTTTAGAATCAGTCCATTTTTAGCGACATTGGCCTTATCCTATTGTGCTGAACTTTGAACGCGATATTGAATTCGAATCCATTCAAAGAGATAATCCTGTTTCGTTGATTGGTGTCGACTCAAGCACCCGACTAAGAGCATCTGCTGCGGTGTTGGTTGCTCCGGGCCGGTGATGAGCGCGGATTCTAAAATCGAATTTTATAGACGCGTAAAAAATAAGTTTCAACCACAACATTCCAAACGCATTGCGGGAACATCCTCGGTTGAGGAAGGCAACAGTCGCGGCGTTATCGGATTCGATAATGACCGTACTGGTGAAATAGCGGGGACCAAACGAGGACCGCAACACAAGCACAAATGAGCTCGAGGAAGTTGACGTTGCTCGCCACCGATGCGTCCAAAAACCGGCGTAGGCAACCAGCATTTGTTCAACACGACAGGCGGTAATGATAGAGGATCCCACGATCCCAGTAGCCAAGGTCACCGAATACAGCACCGAAGCCGCTAAACGAAGCATCGGTGCTAAAAGTTATTTCCGGCCGAAGTAACCCTAGAGAGCAGGGGATGAGACCGTTCATGCCGGAAGCGAACTGAAACCACCAGCGAAATTCTTTTTGCAGCGGGACTGTGATGCGAGTTCGGTGGTTTGCGCTTTTCAAGGCGGAAATGCAATCGATGAACATCCTGGAGAAAGTCCGCGCACCGTAAATTGCGCGTGAGGCAAATGAAATGTGGCCCAAAAATTTCTCCAGTTCCAGCCGGGTGACCTTTGCTCGGTGCGACAACATAAAGGCGCTATCCTGCAGTGCGTGGAGTTTGTCGGTTGGTAATTCCAACCGGCACAACACTGAGTTGATGACCAAACCAAGGAATTTTATGCGGGTGGACGGTCCTTGGACTTTTTCGAATTTCACGGCGAAACCCAGTGATTCGAGCAAAAAAAATTAGGACGGCTTTTGCGAGTGCGCAGCTGTCAAATGTGTCTCCAAGCACCAAAAAATCGTCCAAGTAGGACACAATGGCAAAACCACGGCGCTGCATCATGCGCACAATGGCACAGGAAATCCTGTGAAAAATACTAGGTGCACTTGACAACCCAAAACAAAGAAAGCAGTCGACGTAATACTTCTCCACTGATCCGGCAAATGTCCATCGAAGGCCTTGCAGTGTTCGGTGTAAGGGTGAGATTGGGACATCCCGATATGCCGCTTTGATGTCAACAACGGCGTAAAACACGCCGGGTTTGCTTAATTGCAGTACATCGTCAACTGACTGGAAATGGAATTTTTCCGGAAGTATGTAAGAATTTAACGAGTCACCAGACGGTCTACTGCAGTCGGTGATGGGACGTAATGCTGACGCATCTGACTTTCTGACGGCTCCGATTGCGTTAATACGAAGTGGCTTTTCATGTTGTTCTACCAAACGACCAAGTTGAATTTCTTCAAGAAATATTGCATCCATGAAAGGTTTATTGTCGGAACAAAGTGCGCTTTGGTAATTTTTGCAGTCAGCCGGCGAAACACATTGAACATCGTTTACAACAGAAAAGCCATTTGCAATGCCATTCAACAAAAACTTTTTATCTGGGTCAGCTGAAAGTTCAGCCTCCCAAACAGACAGGCTTTGAGTAAGAGTACAACGTAACAACAAATCCGGGTCATAAACAATATCGGTTATAACATCAGAGCGAAGAGAGGAATCCGTCGTAACGGTTGATTCGCAGTAGTTAGGTATGGGCAGCGGAGGATCCGGGTTAGGTAGTCGGTAGAGGTCATGCGGTGAGAAGGTAAGAAGTCCGTGATCCCGGAGATGAACAGGAGGCGGGTTCGGAAGGTCAGCCTCTGCTGGTGCTTGGTCGCTCTGCGCAAGCCGTGGCACGGTGATGCTTCCCGCAAAATCCGCAGACGTGGGGATAGTGGCACGGCGTCTCGAGACACGGTTTCTGGTCGTTGTAGTTGTAGCAGCAGTAGTTGGGGAAACGGCGTTTTACGGTGTCCGGACGTCCTGAACGAAAAGAGGGTTAGCGGCTTTTGCCTCGGGAATCCGAGGATCGGCGAGAATCCGCCGAAAATGGGCATCAGCTGTTGAGTCGCGACGGGAAATGTCACCCAGAGACAACCCTTCGATGTCGGCTTCCATGCGAAATTCGCAATCGAACCCGAGAACCGCGTCGTCCCTGTAAACGCAGCGCTTTCGCGCTAAATATTCTTGGTATTCCAAGAATTCAATAAGAGATGCAGGTACATTACTCTTTCGAGCCAAAGTTAGGGCGCCCTGATGTTACCGGCAAACAGTTCGTCACACGTAATTTCGTGTGGCTTTAAATCCTTATGAGCCTTATGGGCTGCTCTTACAAACGCATAGGTATGTGGTCTGGCTATACTTCGAGCGTGGTCGGGAATATGCGAAAATTCGCTTGAGCTGCGGCAAGGACTAACAGATCGCTCTACACTTTCCTCACCTGAAGCAGACTGATGGCGCTTCCCGATGCTCCGTGTTGGGGAACGACCGCGAACAACGGATTTCCGTTGAATGCCAGACAATTTGATGCGTAAATCTGCCGGAGAAAGGTCACCTGGTGGCACGATCAGCGGTGATGATCCAGCGGCTTGCTGTGCGGCGAAAACTTCAACGCGATCCCGGTCCCGGGAATTCGTAATAAAATCCAGATTATCAGGGAATTTCCTGACCTTAGCCAAAAAGGCCAAGTCCTCCGCCGTTTTGTAGCCCTTGTCAGTAAGTTGGGCGACTGATTCGGCGGATATGCCACTATACACAGAACATGTGCTCGCTTAACAACCAGGATGCGGCGCCGTACGTCGCAATACGCGGATTCTCCGGTGCCTTAGAATCCAGTCCATTTTTAGCGACATTGGCCCTTATCCTATTGTGCTGAACTTGAACGCGATATTGAATTCGAATCCATTCAAAGAGATAATCCTGTTTCGTTGATTGATGTCGGCATTAAAGACAACAGACAGATTATTGCACGAGCGTGACGTGACGAGCCATCCGGTGCACCATTTTTTCGTCATAACAATTCGCAGTCACAAGGTACTGCGGTTCAAAGTTTTGCTAGTAGTACTTAGGTATACAGACCGACAGCGTTCTTTTGCATTTTTGAAATCCGTTCCAGTAACATGTGGCCCACATAAGTTACGGTAGTAGAAAAATCTGCGCGACGTGACTTTTACCGGCGACCTTTTCAGTCAAATTACGATCCCAGAAAATGATTTCCCAAGGACAAACCGGTTTTCCAGTGAAATGCGTTGTACGTATTTTGTGTTTTCATCCAACTACTGCCGATTTGTTTTTTCGGTGCACAGTTATAATCTCGGTCATCTTATATATTTAACAAAGAACTGTAATGGTAACCGAACCGATGAAAGAACTGTAACGGCTTCTCTTTTTTTGGTTAGATTTCCATAACCGAGTTCCTTGATACCATTCGATTTCATTCAAAAATGTTATTGTTAGGGTGCAACAGTATATTTATTATGTTATATAACCACGCAAATTTTTAATGTAAATGAAGAGTTAAAGTACTAAGATTACCTTCTAGTCATATTTCAAACAGTTACAACATAGCGTGATTGAGGAAAAACAGGGGATACTGCGGCAGTTTCTCTTTGAGGGTGGTAATATGTTGACGCATACGAGTCAAGGCCGCGCTGATGTCGTTTCTAATCAACTGATCACCGGTGAATGCTATCAGCTTCTCCGAAATTTGCTGCAGGGGCGTTATGACAAGCTCAATGGAGATAAGTTTATCCATAACGTTCTGCAGGCTTCCAGAATGGTCAAAAACGGTGGAGATATGTCCGTAAAACAAATTGATTGGCGCCACCAGTTCCGTTTCCCGCTGGAGCTGCGCTTGAAGCTGGAACAACTGATGTTCCAATGCTTGCTTTTGAGCGGTAACTGCGTTTACCTGAGAAAAAGAGAAACTATGTACTACATCTTGCATCATGCTGTTACAATACTGTTTACCTGATGTTGTGCGTGATCCCGTTCACCGCGCTTCTGATTGACCAGCTGAGTAAGTTCATTGACACGTGCTTGGGCCTGATTCTTTCTGTGTCCCACTTCAGTGCGACGGACCTTCGAGGCGTCAATATTGTGAAAGACGTGGCATGGGGCATTTATTATCTTCTCGAAAAGGTCGAAAATAAAGCGCTTTTTTCTTTTTAGAATGCAGTTTCGTTGTTCTTCCACCTTACGTTGGGCTTCATCGTAATCCCGCTGGGCTTGATGGGCATCTGCATGAGCTTGCGCCAGATAGCTGTGGGCCGCATTCAGCTGAACCTCTTGTCCACTCAGCTCTGCGTTCTTCGCATTGAGTTCGTGATTTTTCTGATTCAGCTGGGCATTACAAGCGGCCACTTCCGCCGTTTTCTGCTCTATTTGCTGTTGTGTTTTGACTTTTTCCGCTTCCGCTGCGGCATTGATAGCACGAACACTGGCGTGGAACGTTTTGGAGTCGCGCGCAAAGGCTTTCAACTCGGGTGTCAACTCTGAAATTAGAGAATGGTTAAACAAAAGCTTTTCTGCATAGTTTTCTTCTGATCATGATTACCGGTTTGGTTCGCGTTCACAGGAACTGGAGCGGCACTGAGCGGGAACATGACTGTGTCGGCAAGGTAAATTACGGCATTTTTGTATGGATACAGCACCGCATGCTTGTAAGCTTCCAGGTTGCTGCCTGCAACGGTATGCGGCAGGTAACTAGACCGTATTATACAGTTACATGCTGTTTATTACGTTGGCGAGTTTGAGCAAGTTGAAATTAAAACCCAGTATTAGTATACTAGTCCTACGTGCGTACGCAAAACTTTCTCTGGAATTTGCTTTCTAATTTCCAAAAAAACTGTCAACCCCTCGACTAGAGTTATAAATAACTCTAACACAATACAGGCAAAAGAGACCACGAACAAGGAATATGATGAGCTATAAGTCCGTTAACTTTGTGGCATTTAAATACGCAAATAAGTTTCATAAGACTTTTTACATGGTTTTGCTTGAAAGCAGGAATAACAAACAATGCAGTTCATAAATAAGTCATGCAGAATACTTTAATTACATCCTACAGACTACAGTAAAACTCATATATAGCTCCAAGCACAAACATTTTAGAAACTGTGATCGGCAGTACCCAATACCTATTAATGAGACCATAACAAAATTTAAAACAAAACGTTGCTGCAAAATCAAAGTACATGACCGGTTGTAGCTGGTCGCCTTATTAAGCTATTATTCAATATTTACGAGGTACGTACACGGTACAGATACCAGCTGTACCAAATTAGATTTCAAAATTATAAAAAAATTATTTTCATCATTTTATTTCCTACCTTCTGCAATAGCGACCAACGTTAACAGGATTATCCAGGAGCGACGGTCGTCCATCTTGGGTAGGAAAAAATTCGATAAACCCAAGTCACTCGCGTGCGTCAGGAAAATATGTGGGCAAGGCTTCCGCAGGCGAGCCAAGAAAATCTAATAGTTTTCGAAGCAGAAGACCCGCGCATTAGTTTTGAAAAAATTAATTTTGTTATCTTGAACACTCTAATTATTGACTGCCTCTGTAATAATAGTAATAATAGTAAGCGCCGGTATGTTATTTGTTACTTAAAACGACGTAATGCGTATCTGTATATAACAATTGATCCATAACCATGATCAAAAAATTTAGTCACAAACCTCCGATTCGAGGGACAGGCTGATGATCTCTCCTTGTACGGTAAATAACGAAGATACTAGCTAGGAGCTAATATAAATACAACTAAAACCCAATGGTACTAAAAGATACGAAATTACCACTATTTATATGCAGTCTTTCTTGACCTTAGGTTGCGATCTTGTTGCGCACACGCGCCCTAGTATGACGACCTTGCTCAACAAACAAGCATGATCAGCTGTTCGATAAGCAGAATGGCTTCCTGGTCACGCAGTCTTTGCACGTCCTGTCTTTACCAGAAAATTTGTGTGCACTTTCGTCAGCCAACATCACTTCTGTGTGCAATTTCGTCAGCCAACACCACTTCTAAGAGATGTTTGGGTATAAAAAGTGTGGCTACCCGCTAAACAGTACTCAAACTCCGTATTTATTGTTGTTTAAAATGAGGATAAAAATCAGGGTGTGAAAGGACCAAGCATGGACTATGAAACCTGTCGGTCATACGACGTGTTTGCACGTCCTGTCTTCACCAGAAAATTTTTGTGCAATTTCGTCTGTCAGCATCACTTCTAAGAGATGTTCCAGTACAAAGAGTGTTGTTACCCGCTAAACAGTACTCAAACTGCGGATTTAGTGTTGTTTAAAATAAGGATCAAAATCAGGGTGGGAAAAAACGAAGTATAGATTACGAAACCTGTCGGTCATATGACGTGTTTTGTTTATCAGACTTTGTACCTATTTTGACAGTCAAAAGAAATCAGTGGTGGTCGTCGTGGTCAAAAGAAATCAGTCGTTCACTTGCACTTCTATTTAGTGTATTAAACCATTGTCTTCAGATGAATGACACAATCACCTTTCAGACGCAACTACATAAAGTTCAAAAAATTATGATCACTAATATTGCTGTTAGTAGTTGGCACAGCGCTAACTGCATTTTGGTGAAATACTTGTTAACGTAAAAGTAAAAACAATGCCAACCGGATATCATTCGGTATGCTTCGTATTGGCTTTGCTCTTGATTCTGCTTCATGATGGAGCACGCTCTTCCTCTAGCCTGTCGGTGCTACTAACGGAAAACGGGACAGACACTGGTAAGCAAGGTTTTAATCAAGTAGTTCTAGCTATTAATTTTTATTATTCAAAAAGCAAATCGTACAAAGTACACACAATTAACTCACGTCGGTCAATACAGTACAGTAAAACGTGGGACTTTGAACACTCGCGTGCAATTGAACACTGGTGTACATTGAACGGTCATTACGGAACCGGCGCGTCGCGTAGACTATAATGCAGGGGGGGCCTCGCGTATAATGAACACCTCTCTAAAGTTCTTACTATACTATGCAACACTCGAACGAGGTTCCTGGGAGTACGTTAAAGCAAAAGTTTCCAGTTTGGCAGGGGATAAAAGGTGGCAGTGGCACCTGCCACTGGCAATTGCCACCGGCAGTGGCAGTTGCCACTACGCGTTCTGCCAAGCGATCTAACGTGGCAACTGCCGGAACCCTGAAATGGGATAGATGAAAATATCTAAATATCTAAATATCTATATATATATATATATATATATATATATATATATATATATGTAAATATATAAAAAATATATTTATATACATAGAAAATAGATATAGAAAATACTGTACAAAAAAAATTAAAAAGGAAGTGAGTCGCCGATAAGTTTTAATTTATGGTACGGGTACTGTAGTGGTTTTTGGTAAGCGTAGCGGTACTGGTGGTGGTAATAAGACTGGCAGTGGTTATGGTAGAGTAAGGTGGAAACCCAAATTTCTTAGCGGTCTTGATTTTCGTATCTGTGTTTGGGATGTTTTCTTATGCATGTCCCTTACTCGCTAGATTTTCTTAGGGTTGCTTCTTAGATTATTCTTAGATTTTCTTAGGTTATTTTTAGGTTAACTCGGGTTATTCTTAAGTTATTTCGAGGTTTTCTTAGGTTTTCTTGGGTTAATTTTAGGTTGTTCTAAGGCTTTCTTTTATGAGGTAGGTCTTCAATTTTTTTTCTTAAGGTTTGCGTTGTTTCTTAAGAAAATCTAAGAAATAACCCAAGAGACAGCAAAATATATCCTAAATAATTAAGGAAAATAACAGAACTAAGAAAGCTGAAAAGCTAAGAAATTAAAAAAACTGGGACACCTGACAACGAGAAACCAAATATAACAAGGAAATCTGAGAAAACTGTAAAGATGCAGTCCTACCACCGCAAACACTTGCATTGCCCTCACCACCACCATTAACACCACCAGTACCTAAGAATTACTATACCAACTATTACCGTCATCGGTGCCACTAATAGCACCGCTGCCACAGCAAATACCAGAACTATTAACTAGAATTACCCGGTGACTTACTCCCTTCTGAATTTTTTTGATATTTCAGAAGGAGATTATCGTTGGATGGCACGTCCATCTCATTTTAAAATTCGAGCAGTTGCCAAGTTTTATCGCTTGCCAGAACGCGTATTGGCAACTGCCACTGCCGGTGGCAGTTGCCAGTGGCAGGTGCCACTGCCACCTTTTATCCCCTGCCCAAAACCTTAAGTACAGAGTGTATATGTGCAGCAAGTTCAACCACCCTGCTCCCTTATCATGTACTGAGAATTTCCTTTATCGAGGCATTCATGGTGGCTCCTGAAGCCTGTATGCCGAATCGCCTTATTGTTAGTCGGCCTAAGAGGTTGCACCGTTGCAGTTGGCATACAACGCATCCATTTTTAAACTAAGCTACAGCCCATATTTTTGTATCGTTCTGAAGTTTTGTTTTGCCAGAAGGTACATTTTCATTACCGGTTTGTTCGTTACTCAACGTCGGTCAACGTGATAAATTTGTTCCGGCGCCTGTATTTGACATGTGATATTCTTTGCTAACCTGTTAGTGATTTCAGACTCCCAGTTACAACAGAGCGCCCAGCTCTGGGAATCTCGCATTTTCCCGGAAACATATCTCGGTCCGGCTCCGGCATCAGTGGCTTTAATAGGGCAACTTCTTGTTCTTTGTGCAAAAACCGATGTCTCTTTGGCCGAACGCCCACAAGTGGGAGGATTCCGTTTCCTGCGCTACCCTTCATCAATGCGCGCGTCGCTGGTGCAGCTGGCTAATGAAGCATGGGATGCCTTTCACGACGCATTCCGCACTATGACCTTTCTCCAGATGGAAATGCAACAAGTGCCGGTGCATCTGCGCACCATCGTCCGCGTACCCAAAGGTTCTCCGCTGTCTATTTTGCCCAGGATGGTCAACATTCTCTCAACTCCATCCGGTTGATTGGGGAAGAAGCGGCACCGAGTGCCGGCAGTACGGCTAATAAATTTGGTCTTGTGATGAATCTGACGGGAGAAATCACCGAAGCGGTACGGTCTCGAAAAGATGATTATGAAGATCACTTGTGGGAAACGCGATTGGAAAGGACACAAATGAAGTTCTCAAAGCAGCCTCTGATCGAGAAATCCAAGAGCTGGAACAAAAGCAGCGTGAAATCAACCAGCAGGTAACGAACACATATAGTACAATGGTTTTAAATTTTTTTAGTTTTTTTTTCTCTGCTGCTCTGATACAGTTGGTATTACAGCATGACTAAATACACGACCATTTCTCGTTAAATAAAAATTTATGTCCTTAAATGCTTGAAATTTCGAACATCTTTTGCTGGTGGGCTTGTTGTAAAAGCTTTGGTGAATTTCCTTTGCATTACTGTGTCATTTTTTAAGGTACGCCAAGCGGATGAAGCACATGCAGAAGCGATAAGACAATTACCGACCGGGTTCAAGGCCTTTAAGCAGCGGCTGGCACACGCCGTCGTAGATGTGCTTCCTTCTCTTCTGACTGGATATGTCCTCGGCGCTCCAGCTGCGGTCGGCTCCTCGGTAACATCAACAAGTGCAACTGGTTCTTCGCAAAGCATTCCACCGATCGATCATAAAGAAGCGTCCATAGTAATGGAAGTGACGGATTCCATCAGGAGCTACTTAAAACAGTCCAACTCCTCATCAACAGAGATCGCACAATCATTCTTTCGCAACACCAGGGTCGTCCTCGAGGCGCAACCACGTGCCGTCCCTTCTCCCAATGGCCAACGCATCCGTAAACTGAATGACCAGGTTCCGGACGTTGCCGATCGTGTTAGCGATAGTGACGGAGAAACCGAGTGGAAAGGTGCAAAGAACGCCACTGGCCGAACTGAACCAGGAAGCACCTAGAACCTGTATTCTGAAGCGCTGGCCCAACGCAACGAAATTTTAAAAACCGACACCAGCATTCAAATGGTGGCGAATCTGGAAGGCCCCTTCCTAACGAGCGCATCAAAATCTTCATGACAGCCGAGTACGCTAAGGAAAAAGCCAAAGCGCAGATGAAGATCTTGCAGCTGCGAATAAACTCGTATCGGTCCTACTACCAGATCATCGGCCGTTTGGCCATGTTGGATATGAAGACTGTGCGGTTTGAAGAAATAATCCAGCTACTAAAAGATGCCACACAGGTTCTCGGTCAGCTGCGTCACCAATGGAGTGCACTCGTTGACTTTTTCGCCGCTATGACGTTTCAGGTAGACCGCGCGGTCAAACACTCCTTCAGGCCGCTGGCCGATGCCGCTGCAATCGCTAGTTTGGCTGACACCGATCGCGACGGCCGGGATTTCATCGCCACGATGATTGTGGACGACTGCCAAGAGATTCTAGGGCAAGCGTATTTTCTGCGCGTGATGGCTGGAATGTATCTTGATGTCCATGGAAAGCATGTCAATCAACAATCAGCGGGATTGTCCGCCCTCAACGCGCTGAGCCCCGGTCAGCAAATGGCCGCTTTGCAGACTTTACAACAACAAGCCCTTGCGGCGGAAACCGATATTAAGTCGCGTTTGGTAGTGCAGGTCACGCAGCAGTTGCACCTGATTACCAGCCTCGTCGAAAAAACCCAAACTGATCCTCGACAAATAGCTGTCCATACTGTGAATTGACTCTTTGTGGAAGTCATCGCAAGATATGAGTGCTGTTTAGTGCATTCCTTTTTTGGCTCGAAATGTCGGTTAGTGGTCCACTCAAAGGCTTTGCACGTTTTTCCTAGAATTGCACAAATGTTGTCCAAATAACAAACCGAATCTTCCCAAGAAGTTTACTGCAAACTGATTTATTGAAAACCCCGTCATTCAGCGTAGCTGCCGTGTAATTAGAGCTAATGTTAGGGTTCACCTTCTTAAGAACCGCATGAGAACAGACTCTGTTCTTGTAAAGGCAGCTTCGGCATCTGGCAACGGAGGCGGCTCCGTTGTCAGATGGCCGCCGTTGAAAACAGCGTTGCACAACCATTCAACTGGCACGTGTATTAGCTGACATTTAATTGCTGTAATCGAAGGCGCCAGTCTAAAAGTCACAATGGCAGTAGCTTGTACGTGCAATAGTTCAGATGTATGCTATTAAGATTGTTCAATATCATATCGGCTGGGCTTTAGAATAAGTAGATTAAACCAGAGTCATCGTACAATAGGAGTTTTAGTTTTTATTATCGTATCTTTGAGCGCTAAAATAATTATGTTAAGCTGAGTCATAGCCAGAACAGACTTGCCAACTGTTGCCCGTGATAGACTGATTGCTAAACTCGGACACATTTCACAGAGCACAATCAATGCTTGTCAGTTAACAACCGTAAAGTTTGATTACTTTCCACACAAGGTACTGTATTTAATCATCCGACGGAGCCATTCTAGAATTTTACAGTAATGCTTACCAAATGCGCTTTTCTTAAACAACTGGTTGTCGGTTATTATAATGCGACTACTTCATATGGATAATTCTGAACAAGGACATTTTAAATTCAAATAGTTGAGGCTCTGTTCGATGGACATTATTCGGGAGTGGAAGATAACGGACATTTTTCAGCAGTTTGATACCGCTGAACTTGGTGAATTCAAGCAGCGATGGCAGAGAGACGGAGTGAAAGGCATCATTAAACTGTACAAACAGAAAGAACACGAATTATTTTCCCAGCCACTGCATATTGCTATCATTGGCAATTCTGGTGCGGGAAAATCCACCTTCGTCAATGCCATTCGAGGCCTAACCGCCGATGACCCCGGCGCCGCGAGAACGGACTGCGTGGAAACAACCAGAGAGCCCACAGCGTATCGACAACCAGGTCACGAAGCACTGGTGTTCTGGGATTTACCTGGAGTCGGTACCCCGAACTTCCCTCAAGATGAATATCTAGAGTTGGTGGAATTTTCTCGTTATGACTTCTTCATAATCATGTGCTCGCAACGGTTCACCGGTGCCGATATGTGGCTAGGGCAAAAGATTGGTGAATCAAATCGTCAGTTCTTTTTCGTCCGCACCAAAGTAAGAATCGATGTATTCAATGACCGGCGCGCCCATCCCAGATCTCACGATGCAAGCAGAGTGCAACATGAAATTAGGGAGGAAATTAAGCTGCACTTGCAAAAGAACTGTGTCATGGCTCCCATCTTCTTAATTGACAGCTACCAACCACAACGTTTCGACTTTGGTAAACTACAGATGCAGTTGATCGAAGACTTTCCGGCACTGAAATCTCGAGCTCTGACTATGGGATTGAGCTTTAACTTCAGTGAGAATCTAATTAAGGAAAAAATTAAGGTACGATGCGTCAACTGACAAACGTGGCGCTGAACCTTTCTGCCATCTATGGTGCAAATTTGTTTCAACTGCCCGTAATTTTGTCATTAGGTAGACATCAAATAAAGATTTACCAATTTCACACACTGCCCGCTTTTAAGGTTTTACGAAATGATATATGGAAGGTGGCACTGGTATCGGCTGCCCTTAAGTCGCCGTTGTTTTCCCATCCGATGGAACTGGATAGCGTGCGGCCATTGGAACGTATCGGCTGCCATTAAGTCGCCGCGTTTTCCCATCCATGGAACACAGCGTGCAGCCATTAAGCGTCTTAGGTCTGGATGATGCTTCGCTACACCGGTCATGATTTAGCCGCTGCTGGCTGTGCGGCGCCACCCCAGTTACTCAAGGATCTGGCGGCATATGCTCCCGAACCAAAACCGACTTCCGATCTTCATATAGGACAAATAATGGTGGAATTGTTGCAAATGCTGCCATATTATTCCTCAGTAATTTCCATGTATAAGACGGTGCAGAGGGCGCTGCATTTTATGTTGGATGTCTTGGGGGACTTGGCCCGTGAGGTTGTTCAAATAGAACTCAACGCCGCTCTTGACAACGAAGACGACATATAATTGCACCAGCTATATCAAAAATGATGTATTCGTAATGCGGCATTCATGTCGTCCACTCACATTCGCCTGTTAGCAATTATTAGCCGGTTTCAGTGTCGCGACACTGCTGCGTATTTTTGAGAACTACGAAGTTTGTAAAACGTCTGAGAACGCTGAATGTGTCCCTTTTACGAGTTTTTATGATAATATTTGTCACTGAAAATACAAACAACAGGAGTCGCCGCATCGGTGGTATTACGGAAAAAGAGGAAAAAGTAAACCAGTTTTCTTTTTGCTTTCTGATCACCCTGATAGTTGTTTATGATCGAACTGTTTTAAGTAATTATAACACGATTTTGGCGCTAAACAATAGCTTTCCCAAGAAGAGCTGCAATTAAAGTTGTAAGTATACTTATCTGTATCGCAGCTAATGACTTGTAGAAACAATTGCACGATACAGTCTAACATTATTCAACTGCCACGTATCTTGTTAACTCACTGTATTCTGTCTGTATCGCAGCTAATGACTTGTTGAAACAATTGCACGATACAGTCTAACATTATTCAATTGCCACGTATCTTGTTAACTCACTGTATTCTGTAATCTGTATTAAACCGTGTAATCGAAAGCAGAAAATTATCAGTCAGAGTCGCCTGATCAAGTGGGAACTATAATTATGCGAGTACATACCCGTACATGTCCGGAGTATGCAATAACTGTTACAACTGAATCACCGAATGAGTCTTTCAACTTTTTATTACCCTGTTATCTTACGCAGACAATGAAGTCGAGTCATCGCACGGTATACGCTGTCATTACCATACCTTATTTGACGCACACATCATATTGAGCAAAGTATAGATGCTTAAGACTAAAAAAACTTTGTTATCGATAAACTTTACCCAAATTATCATTTTTTTGTCGCCTCGGACTTACTCATACAGAAGCTATGTGCTTTTACCCTCGGAGGATTCGATACTTGTACTGATAAACGCCTTGATTTGTAGATTTTACGAAGCGAACCATGGAAAGTGGCCGTTGCATCTGCCGCCGCGGCACCAATTCCGTTTGTTTCCGCTGTGGTCGATCTGGAGACGGTGCGATCTGCCATTGTGCGCTATCTGGTCACCTTAGGTCTGGATGATGCCTCGCTCGAAGCGACATCTCGACGAACCGGCCACGATCTAGCTAGTTTAATGAACATGGTTCACGGCTGTTTCCCGCCCTCGGCGGCTCCTCCATGCAGTATCCAGGAGCTGGCGTCGTATGCTCCTAAATTAAAACCGACTTCTGCTCCCCATGTGCTGAAATGGGTGCCCGTGGTTGGCTCTATGATTGGTGCCATTGTCACGTTCAAGACGTTGCTGAAGATATTGCAAGGCATGTTGGATGTCATGGAGGATTTGGCACTTGCGGTCGTTAGAATAGAACTGAACGCCGCCCGCACTAATGAAGTCGACATGTAACGTTTATTAAAGGTATTATAGCAGACTTACTACATCATGATATTGTGATCAGGTATTTAAGCGATCGCGTTCGTACATCGGAATACGATATAAAGACTTCACCGAACACAAAAGTTCTTGTCTTACGGCTGCTTTTACTACGGCGCTTTATTTGTTTGCTTATTTTATTAAAATTTAATTGCTGGTTTAGTAAAAATTGACTTTTGCAGCTAACTTAATGCATTTGTTTTTGCTTTGATGTTGTATTGGCATTCAAAAAAACCAAGAAATATCCACAGCTTCAAATTCGCGGGCTCGAGCACGACTGCAAATTTCAGCGACCGGTTTTGAATGAGCAGATCGGCTAACTGCCGTAGCAGCGAGAATTAGTTTGAATTCACGCAAAACAATATAAAAAGGTAAAGGATAGTATATAAAAGGTATCACGCATAATTAATAAAAGTATAGTATAGCCGTCTTCTTCGAATGAATGATAACATGAAACTTCCACCGACGAAAGGGCAGGGTGTAAAACCTGGCACTGGCAAGTGCCTCTGGCGTTGCCAGTGGCATGGCAAGGGATAAAACCTGGTATGTTATCCTTTTGGCACGCAATAAAATATGGCAAATGCCAGAAAACACGTGGCACAGCGGTTAATAAATAAGTAGAAAATATTGACGCTGCCTCCCTTGTACAAGTTACAAAAATTAATAAAACTGCGATGGTATCAGTTGCATTAATATCTGCTAATGCTTAAACCTCTACATGGACAAGAGTTACAAGACCCTACTAATTTTCTCAACGAATTACACCCACCGGCATGAATAGCTCGATCAGCAATTAATGCGTAATGGTGCTGCAAAAAGAATGAATTTGAAAACTGTGCCAAGCTCCAAACCACGCCGATTCACGAAGAATATACTGCATCCGCGTTTCGATTTGCAATCATTTGGCATGGACGGTGTACGCTTAATACTGTAATTCAAAAATCCTCACCGCTTAATGGGCACCGGTTGGTGCCCAGACAAAGTTCGCTGCAATAATGACGAGTAGTAAAAAGTAAAAACTTCTATTTTACCATCGGGCTTATTCCGCACCGTCTGTTCCTTACGCGATGGTACAGGTCACGATAAAAAGTACAACCACACAAACATTTCCACACGGAGCAGATCAAAATGACGCCGCTCTTAACACAGCTGCATAATTAAAAAAATGCAGGTAAATATCCCGGCAATATGCGCTCACGATAAGACTGTGATTTGATCACTGAAAACCCGAAAAACACCCGTTATTCGGTTATTCTACACCAAACAGACCTGTAAAAAATAAAGTTAACTTTTAGTTGTCATCATCATCATTTAAATTTCGTAATTAGCGGCATAATTTGCATACCAGTATATGCGAATTGCCTTTAAGCTTTAACTATACATGTTCAAATGAGCACTTAAATTTCAATAAATCTTGTATGAATCTTTACATGTGCAAGCTTACTACAACCGACACAAAGTGAAATGGCACTCATTGAAAACAGAAAAAATCGATTTAAATCCAACGCTTATTGACTGTCTTTGACTCGTATGTTAAACTTGACATGACTGATGATTAAAGGTCTGGGTTATCTGTTGTTTGGAAAACAGAATATTATGCAGTGATAAGAACAGTTGCTTGCAAAAAGGCAATTGGCACATGTACTTGTATTATGAGTGTGTGCGTATGTCTATGAAATTTGTATAAGGCGCTCTTGTTTCGTGCAACGGTGCAGATTCGCAACTGCATCGACCTTCTCTTCCGCCGGACCAAAGTTCAGTGCACATAGAGACACAACATTACATATTATTACCATTCAGACATCAAACGCTAATCATTTTGAACTTAAAATTACTGTTCTGCCTTCAGCCATCGTTTTTACGTACAGAGTAGACGACACGCTGTCACTTACAACTGCCAACATACTATGAACAATTTTATTAATTGTCGTTCCGAAACATTACTGATCGTGTCTGCGTTAATCTGTCGAAAAAGAGTAGCACTTGGAAATGTACCGATGCTGGACATTTTGGATGAACACTGGGTAAGCGTTCCGAGCTGTGTGGTATACAACACGGATTATAATTACAAATATTGATAAGTACCGATATTGCGAAGTGTTGAAATTATGTAAAGTTGCATTTTAATTAGACGTACGGTGATTGGTGAATAAGCTAAATGATGAATATTACTGCTGTTATTTTTATCTCGTTCTAGAATCCCAGTTCTCAATAGCGGGCTTCATACATACATGTAGTTGGTGCAACGACGATCGTGAACTGCTGAACAGGTTGCAACACCACTAGAGAAAAAAGAGTGACAGCGGTAAATATTCAGGCTGATCTACGTAGTAAGATATTAAGCTAATAAGACCTAATTAACTCGTTTGTTGCATGAGATCAATTTCCATGAAATTACAGTAATTCAATAGCTCTTTAGTGTCCGTTAGAATAACAAACTGCCAATTAATCGAAGAAACTGCCCCTATTTTTGCATCGGTTATTCCATTAAGCAATTTTGTAATGCAATAATTGTACTAAGACTGCTGCAGTACCCGGCCGTATAACTCACCGTACTGTATGTGTATGACCTTAATACGAATATGCCTTCGTATACAGGTGCAGTGTGTGTACAAAGGGAGAGCTCGTGCCATCAGCGTTCCACCCACCGGAAATCGTCGACATGGAGATCAGCCGTACTCAAACATCACTATTTTGCCGGTCGTTAGAGATCGACTTGAACAAGTGCAATATCACCACATGAGAAATGTCTTGAAAATTTAGTTTTAGTAATACTTCTACTTCTATTACGTATTTGCCGGGACGAATAACCGTACGATGTATGGTACTAGATCATTTTTATATTTAGTTTTGAAAGTTGCAGTTTAATCGCTATTTTTTATTTTAGCAGTTTAACAGTGAGTTCCAACATCGTAGTGAAAGTTATGGTTTTAATAATTCTAGTTTTCCGGCATATGCCATATTTTATTGTGTGCCAGAGGGATAACATACCAGGTTTTATCCCTAGCCATGCCAGTGGCAACGCCAGAGGCACTTGCCAGTGCCAGGTTTTACACCCTGCCCGACGAAAGTGCTTTCTCAGCAACTTTATTTGACATAAATGCCTTTAACCGCTTGGCTTCCCATTGCTTCTGTCACGTCGTGAAGCACCAGATTTATTGGGCTTCTTGCCGGCGAGATACTCAATAACTAAATGATAATAGGCAAAAAATACCGCATAAGGTCACGCATAAGGTCATCAACCCAAGACATGCACATACGAGTATAATGTTGCCACGCGCAACTATTGCGCGTAGCCACTACACTACAGCTTCCTTGTCCGTTCTTAAAATTCGATCATTTGACTTCCATTTGCAGCGAGACTGAGCTTCTCTAGACCGATGAAAATAATATTCAGACAATAGACATCTCCATGGCGAGAAGAATGCGCAAACACAGTGCAGCGAATGCTAAACAGAGGTGCCGACAGCAGTTTTCAAATTCCAGATGACAACAACAACACCACATTTCCCAGACAAGGAAGACACTATACGACCTTGCCATATGTCTCTTTTAGACGCGTGGCTTCCCGTTGACCAGACAGCAGAGCACCGTGCACCATTGACCAGTATTTGGGATGGGTGGCCTCGCCGGCAAATAACAATCCCGGAACTTTGGTTACCCACCCACCGATGTCTTTCTCATACCAATATTCACTGCTGGCCAAGTCCTCGGTAGCCAGCCCTTGCTTGACCATTTCCATGGTGATATGGCTGTACGCGCCGCGAAATAAATCATTCTGCGACCATCTTCCCCTGCATTTATGATCATTCACATACATTTATCATAAAAAGCTTTGAAGACAATTAGCTACCTGAGGACTTTCTTAGGTTCTGGAACGACTTTTCCGGTGCTTTGTCGTAGCAACGCCGTCACTGAAGCGGAAACCTCCGCATCTGTCAGACTCTCCATTTCCACTGCTTGCGATCCACCCAGCATGACTATCAGTGTATTGTTCATTGTAGGTGACTGCATGACGAAGGCAATTGCTCGCGCCCAAGGCTGTCCGGGCTGTGACAGATACGAAACTTTATATTACATGTAATACTCATTCATCGCTGCTTAAAGGATTACTAGTAAATAATTATTGTACGAAGCGACAATTTCTTGTTTCGCGAAGGAGTGCAACAACTGTGGGAATTGCAAAGGCTTACATATGTTTTATTTCGGTCAACAGTGATGTCATTTCCGCTGTCAAATAAGTACGCATAATACGGCGGCAAAGTCCCATTCCACCATTCTTCCTCATATACGAGATGCAGCTTTCCCAGCGTACCAAACCCGACACTCTGTATGGCCGCACGTTTGCGCTCCGATAACGGCGGATCGAAAAGGTCATCCAGATGTGATTTTAGATGTCCAACGGCGGCCGTCATAATCACGTGATCGGCACTTAGTTCCGTGCCGTTCGATAGCGTAACAGTTAGCGGCGGAGCCTGTTCAGGACGAAAGCGGACCCGCTTGACAAGCGCACCGAACTGAATGTCCTTGATAGCATCCGGGGTCCACATTTTCAGGACATCAGTGTAAGGAACGTTGAGGTCGATGGCGTGGGGACCGACGATGGAGATGTTCGCCACCGAGTGAATACTCAGATTGAAGAAATTGTCGGCACCATAATCCGCTTTTTGCAGCCTGTTTAATTTTACAGATTGATCATGATTTTTAGAATACCTGAAGCTTGAAAACAATTGAGGTGACTCACCGCACATACGCGTCGTATGTCTGGTCAGCCGCCTCGATTTTATCCTCCGCAACGCTCTTCCTGATTTTCTGATAGGAATTCAACAGATGCTGTCCCAACGATAAGCCGGTTTCGGAGAGAAATGCGTTGTACGCTGATTTGTTGAAAAGCATCTCATCCAACGTGGCGTGGATCTGAAGCCGCGTCTCGACGTTCGTGACCTTAGAAAACCACCCAAGGGATAAATCATGTTGGCTCCAATCGCTTAGTGTTTATAATGTGCGCTCACTTCCGCTCCATTTGCATTTAATAGCAAAATGTTGCTGTCCTCTTCCTCTTTGTTCGGATCATCTTTCCGCAGATCGTACGCTTTGGCCAATAAGTTTCTTGATTGTGCGAAGTCGTACAATGGATTGCTGTGTCCGTGCACCCATTGACCTCCCAATTCGAGCCACCCTGGAAATATTATGCAGCGTGTGGAGCAAAGAATCGAAATGTAAAATGTTTAAACTTGGTAAGATGCTTTTTGAGAGGACGCAGGAAAAGCGGTCCACTCAGTTCCTGAAGCAGAGAATCATTATTGCTTTAATGCGAGGTAATGCTGCTTGCGTTCAGGAAACCTTCTGCATCGGGAGGAGGCTGGATGAAGTGTACTATGTGTTGCAATAATGTATTGCGTGATTTAGCGTTTAAACAATGTTCATTTGTGTAACCCAATAAAAATTTTCCTTTATCCATCAGTATGATTTCCTGAATAAATTTTGTATTTTGCAGTCAAGAATTGCAATCCACGTTAATGGCTGATAAAGCACCATCAGCGGTGAAGAGCGCTTGCACTAATTTTTTGTCACAACGCTATTAGATGTCATTAACTTGCCATAAAATTTTGTGAAATCAATGTGTACGAGTAGTAATTTTTCAGCACTGCCGATACAGTTACCTTCTCCCGTTTCACTGGGCACACTCCATAATCGTCCACCATAGCGATTTGATGCCTCCAGCAAAGCCACCTCGAATCCGGCTGTGATTAATTCCTGTGACGCGCTGAGACCGGCCGCGCCGGCGCCCACAACAATTACCTTCGGTTTCATTATGAACAAACTATCCACATTTTTCAAAGTGGGTTGCTGGCGTGCAGCGGAACATGTCGTCGTTATGATTGCTACAGCGAGTAGCAGAAGCATCTTTCGTGGCTGAGTTGCTGATACCGCTATCTAAAGCAAATAGGAAATGTTGACTTTCTGTATGAATATTATTCAAGCATATCCATGTTGAAGCCGGTCGACACTTAATCAAACAAATTTTGCTTATAAACGACTTCAATTTGCCATGCGCTTTACGTTACGTTTGAATCGGTCTATGTATTTGCCGTACCAAACTACTTAAACGTAAAAGTGTCTTGTACAGTGTTTATACAGCAGAAACATGAGAAAAGCAGTGGTTCCGGCAACAACAATATATAGTTTAAACTTTGATTTCCTAATTCCGCGCCAATATGATTCTAATCAGAAAACTTGATCAGATTATTTAGACGATTATTCCAGATTTTCGAACTATCACACAATACTTATTTTTCATGCGAGAAAAATCCTGTCATTTGTGGATACATAAAAGTACTAAACCTCAATTACACTTTCAACGTACGTAATTGGAATTCGTTATTTTGCGTAACATTCCAAGAGGGACACCGGATCATTTTATAAATACTGTACATATATTATATTATGACAAAATACAGTTTCATCGAGCGTAAAATCGTTTCCGTTAATTTTATGCAATGGCATTAATCCGTATCTTTAGAACACAAATTTATGGTTTAACTTACTGTTGCTTTCGCGTAAACGTACCAATTCCATAGTAGCGGCTGCCTTCTCCTGACGCCAGCACACCAATTTCACAAACTCCGCCTGCAGATCCCGCATGCCAATTAACAGACAGATAGGGTCAACGAGCGCCGCCAACTCAAACAGCCAATCCGTCATGATAAACACCCAGTGTGAGAAGTGTGGGATTGTGATGGCCGGGATGTGCTGCGTGGTGTGCACCCGGTGTTCTTCAGCGATGCGTCTGTGTATATTTGTGTGTGTAACTTCGAGGATTCGAGCAGTGTGGAAAAAATACCTTTATTAATACACACCATATATGGCAAAGCACGGCGGCCACACATTTATGTGGTGGCCACCCGTGCGGATAAATATGCTCATGAAGAGTGCTTATCGCGAATGGACATAATCAAAAGGTCAATTGACAGTGCCGACCTTGTTCGCAAAAACAGCATCAATGTCGAACTCGCTTTATTGCAGTAAGTCCTGTTGCATTGTGCTACAAAACCTAAAGGTCATGAATGCCATATAATTATATGCAATTCTTTCTTTTGTGAACAAACTTTCTTTTGTTTTTTTTGTATTTATGTATGGCGTACGTAGCTGTTTATGCAATTGTTTTTGGTGCTAGCATGATGTTTTGTTAAAAAGGGGGACTAGATTTATGATGCTTTTAAAACGACGATCTAAACTCACATCACTTTATTTAGTTGTTTAAATCTGCACATTTCCGGTTTAAGTTAATTTCCATTCCCAAACAAGTGCAGCCTTTAACGACGCTATGTAGAGACGTCTGTGTAATTTCAGAGACCTTCCAGATGGTGCTATGTTTGAAGGAAAATCCACGAATTACAGCGCCAGGTGGATGAAAATACACGATAAAATGTTCGTTACGGCAAGTTGCCAGTCAGGACAAGGATCGATCCTTCGTAAACATTTGCTCAATGCTTGTTTGGACGCAAATACTTTCCCACATTTATCACGCCCAATCCCTCTTGGCTGGGTGGAATTGTATGATGAAGTATCGACACTGCGCGATAAGAACGTGGTGTGTGTGTCCTGGAGGAACTTCGAGCAATGGCGTCGAAAGATGAGCGTGTCAGCAAATCTCGGTTCACTGAGTGCATTGGATTCTTACAGCAAATTGTAAGCACAACTGTAAGAATGTTAACTCGAAATGGCGCTCTTGATTTTTCATAAACGAAACTGTTGAAAAACCATGTAGAAACTTATTATGGAATCACTTCTTCGTTGACCACCAGCCACTTTATACGTTACTACTATTCAGCGCTCGCAGGAAGTGTATATTCATGATATTCATGAATTATGGAACCATTTATCACCATCAGCCGCCTAACTGATCGCCTCTCCAACTTGAAGAACTTGTCACAGTATAAGCGCACTCTGCATAGTTGCAGAGAAATTGGTCTGGACAAATAGGTTTACGTTAGGTTAAACCTCTGATGACTTTATGTCATGACTAGGAGTGATACTGGATGCCCGGGCACTGCAAACCATTCAGTCTGTGGATCTCATCTGTATTAATCCGTCAGTATTAGCGCGCTGCGCATGTGCGCTGCATATTGATGATCAGAAGAAATCCTTCCGCTTCGAAGGAAACGCTTTTGGCCCCGGAGTCTCAACGCACATCCGCCGGAAGCGCAGATTTTAGCCTCGGCACTGGAAGATATCCCGAATAAAGGACTGATCAAGGAATCGCTGTTCCCGCTAATTTGGCAGGTTTGTATTACAACATCCCATAATTAATTACAATGTCAACAGTGCTAAATGGTAATACAATAGGCACACATAAATATTCAGCCAGTTTTCAATTCGCACGCGCACAATGCTGCACGTAAACACATCCCGTTTTTAATTAGCGAAATGTAGCAGCCGTGTGGCAAACGTATTTCTTGATTTGAAGTGCAGTGGCGTTCACTTTTCAGGATTATGCGTTGGAGGATCAAGTTGTACAGATACGCAGTCTTCTGTTCCATCTTTGCTTGTTGTCAAGCCGGCCCGTACCGCATCGGAAACACTGGCGCTGCCAGCATTTCCCAGCCTCTCGCCCCAACAGCAATACGCGATCCCCTTCTCGGATTACTTCCGGATGCGAAACCAGTAAGTGGCCGGTGTAAAATCCTTTTGCCGTCATCACGAAACCTATGCCGCGCATTTCTGCCACATGTTTCCATCCGGCAAATTTACAGATTTTTCGCAATTATTTACGGCGAAATGATCAGTGAAAGGGCGGTTTATTAGATTTGATTTTGTCTAGCAATTGAATTGGACAAGCCGGCCCTTCCGCGGGGACGTCCAGCTGTCCCTGTACATGTATTTCCTGCCCGTGATGCCCCCGGGGAATGCCTCCCGGTTGATTGCCTTGATTAACAACATGCTCATTGAAAAATGCTCATATCACTATTACTGGAAACGAGGCGTACTAACCAAATCATCCGACATGCTGCTCTTCATCTCCTGTGAACATGATGATTTTCTGGAGATATCCGCCAGAGTAACGGCCGAAGAGGAGGATGATACGTCATTCCTGGAATCGCTGTGGTTGGAAGTGTTTTATATAATGGATCTCGTCAATGAATTCATGGCTGTCAGCTGGCAGGGCATTCGCACCACTGTAAGTCAAAGGAAGTGGTCATGGTAGGTGTTGCGTACTGTACAACCGGTGGAGTGAAGGTTTGCCGGTAAATTTCCTTACTCGAGGCTGTAAACTGCAGTAAACAACCCAATGTTTATAAAACTTAAATTAGAAATTCCGAACCGACACGGCATATGTATTTCTATTCCATTTCTTTGAATCTTTGATTGGCAACAACAGATGGACGTTTTGCGCATGCTCGAAAGAACGCACCATCAATAGAAGTATACAGTACGACGCTTCAGATTATGTACTAGTACGCGCCCTGGCGTGTAATTAAGGCTTCTGCATTCTTACCGGCGTGAAGTTTGAATAAGTTCTTACACATACTACAGCCTGGTGCCTCACGAAAAAATCAACCAAATTTTTCATCTGCCGTGCTGATGAAAACTATAGATATAATAACTCTGTACATAAAAAAATCGATAATATAGTGCGTACCGCACAGTCAAGTCATGAGTTTCCATTCCAGCGGAAATATATTTTGACTCGCAGGTAAATATACACAATTTGAATGCAAGGCCTGTGTGGAGTTTTCAATGGGTCATGAGTATCCGTCTGGTCAGCTATGCTCCCCTCCGGAACCTATCCTGTAAATCTGTATTGTCGCTTTTTAATAGGCTTCGCTGGTCGCCCACGGTGATATCTTTTATATTGACGAAAAAATCGATACCGAACCGGAGTTGACGCTTGCCAAGGTGTATCATGCTGCGAAAGTAAAGGACGACATTCCATTCAAAGACGCTGGCGATGACAAATATCTGGAAATTGCTAAATTAGTTCCATCCAGTATTTTACGTAAGTCCCCGCATGGGCCATACGGCACAGGCATACACTTGCTAATAACGCAAAGCAGCCGTGTCACCATTATTGCGGCAAGTGTATTATAGATCAAAGGACTGTACCTGAATGGAATCACAAATTGATACCATTAAATTAAATGCATAAAAGCGCATGTTCACGTACGCAAATGCCGTAAAAGCCAAATTGTTATTTTGGACGTAGTACATAGTGAATTCAATACTTCTAACATATGGGTATGGCATTTTTTTTTTTTGCTTCAAAGCCCTTCTTCAATCTCCTGAAAGTTATGTTTTGCACACATATCACTTATTTACGATATGCAGTGCGATGTACAATATGCAGGCAGCAGACCTTATGTTGTATGTTTGTTACAGGTGTAAATATTCACGTTTGGCAGCCTTTCAAAGAGAATGCATGGGGTACGTTCGTTTAAATAATCAATACACATTCCAGCATCGTGTGTATTTTCTGTGCGTGTTGGCAACCTTTCATCCATTGCAGATAGTGCTGTAACAAAAGACATCAGCGAGGACGAGAAGGACCTCACCGTAGCACGGCAGAAGCATTAAATTCGATGCACTCATGATGATATACACAAGCGACGTCGGTAACCAGCACACCACGACATTGACCATCAACAAGGTCATCATGAGAAACGCCGACCCGCCATCTGTCTTTGTCTCGGTTTTAGACTGCTCCATTGTGCCATTGGCGCTAGTTTTTGGTTTGGTTGCTTTGCGTGTATTCATCCGGTACCAGATAATCGGATACAGGGCAACCACAGCGATCACCGGGAAGTCATAGATACATACTTGTAAAGCGTGTGCGGTGATGTACTGCGCCTGGTAGTTGATATCACAGCCACGCTCGGCGAAAGGTCGTCGGTACAACCGAAATTCCAAAATGAGAAACGGCAGCGTTAATATGTGCACAAACATCCATTTTACAACGCAAACAGCAACGGCGACACGATGGGAATGATACAGGCGATAGGAAAAGGGAAAGGTCACCGCCCACAAGCGGTTCTGGACGACAAGGACCTGCGCCCAGGTCATAGCCATCGCGGCGGGATACCACGCGTATAAATATGCGTCACACACTGCTGCGCGTGATTGCCATCCGGGTTGGACCAGTTTAATCATGTGATCCACGAATAACAGCGCCGTAAAAAGCAGATTAGCGACGAGAAGATTGATAAGGTAGACAGCGAAGGGTGTTCGCAGGCTGCGGTGGCGAACGTATAATGCCAGGATGGCGAAATTCAGCAGAAGAGTGGTGGCTACAGCGCCGATTCGGATATATCTGGGCGTGGTCATTTGAGTTTTGGCGAGATAGCCGGTCCAGTTGAAGGTTAGGTTAGTCGTTGTGTTTAGTGCCATTGGCTTGATGGAAATTTTTCGGCTGCCTAATAAGGTATCTCCGCTTAAACGAATTAAAAAAGTGCAGTTTTATAGTAGCATACTAGCACTGATAAAATTATCTACAATTGCCAAAAATTAAAGGACAATTTTCAATGCGCGATGACACTACTTAATCATTAAAACTGAATTTAAGAAAACGAGCAGAATCTGCATCTTTTCTTAAGCAAAAAAATTAAAACACCGAAAGTGGCAGTGTCAATTCAATAAATAAAAACCGCGACAAAATAGTTAAGAGCGTTTCTGCATCCGATCTACAAATTTTAACAGAAAAATAAACAACCTGACTACCTTGCACAACCTTGCAAGCTCAGCATGCTGCAGTAAATAAAACTAAAGAGCGTGCTGCTGTCGCAGTCCTTCTCTAGTTGCAGCTCAGATGGCAAAGCGCTGCGGTATTATAGGTCTACTATGAAAATCTAATTAATAACAATTAAACCGTCAAAAGGGGCAGAGATTAGGTTACAAGGTTTCCTTCGCGTACAACTCTGGACAATTTCAGACCTGGGTTTCTTCTAAGCTTTTCTGATGAACAAAGATGCCAAGCCATCGCACAGGAAACAACATGACTTCGATGGCTCAACAACCCAGAATTTAGGAAGCAACGCGTACAGATTGTAAACCGATCAATGGATTCTCGTCCGTCGTATATACCGCAATTACGCGGTCACAGCAGGTCTTAGCCATTAACTCTGTGGAATACCTGCAATACCGTGCCAGCTTAACCTCCTTGGGAAACAAACACCGGCTGACACAGCCAAGTGACTTCCGCTTCGCTTGTTTCCTGCCTCGTTATGAATGGAAAGAAGATCTCTGACGTTGGTCGGGCTGACAAACTGGGCTAATAACACTGTATATAAGATTGCAATGGTTTGTTATTTTCCGATAAAATTGCGTCTTAGACCGTTTATCCTTTCGAAAGCGTTCATCCATGATTCCACATGTCGAGGTAAAATTTACTGCCTAGGAATTTCCGGTGCCATTGTACCGTCTACAAGACGCATTGGGCGAGCTATAGTACACAGGAGTACACAGGAGATTATAGAAAGGAATTTGTAACTTAGGACGCTGATATCGTATGGTATCAGTAAGCTAACATTGATGAGAAGCAGTTGAAACCTAATTGTAATTTGACCAAGAGAATATCGTCTGATCGCACTGGAGATTGTAAAATTTTCTAGCACAGCCTGCTCGTCTGCAATTGCATTTCTGGTATTTCAGCCAGTTCTCGGTATTCCCTGACTGTTTCCTGGCTGTTGGTGTGCAAATAGGTACTATAGTATCGGAATAATCTACCAACATGATTGTTCGTTTCTGGTTTAGCGATAAAATCGGCGTTGCAGCAACTTCAGGTGATTGGATGCGATCTAATTAACACACCGGCAGACACCTGGGGTTGGAAGTGAACTTTCAACCCAAAGATGTTCATTTCAAACACGTACAATACCACTAGACACATGGCATATCAAATCTGTGCGCACTACGCATTTATCCAAATTGCACTCCTTCTCCTTTATTGAACTGCGAGGTTGAACTGCCAAAATAATGATTAATTTTGTATATGTATGTATAATCTTATAGAAACGCTTTGCATTTGCCGATCTCAGTTGCTGACTAGTGCGACAAGTTACTCCTTCGACGACAGTTTTTAATTATTCTTCTGGTATGCGTTCTTCGCGTCTTAATCAAAAGTGATAAAAAATGGCTCTGTGCAGGTAAATCTGAGGTCAAAATTACATCAGAGCAAGGAGAATATTTCATGGGAAATGGTACGCGTTCTTTCATGGGTCTTTTCCTGTGGTAGCATCGATATTCTTTTATCGCATACAACAAGTCGATCAAATATTAGCGCAGCGCCCAGTTACAAAACGACACGAACCTGTTTTTCTGAATGGTTAAGCTGACTGCGGCACAAAAACGGCTTGTGTTAACTTTTTTGACAAAACTGTGCCCGTGTTTTTGATGCCTGTAAAGAAAACGACCGGTTTATAAAGAAGCGGATTATGTGGAAAAGATAGCTTGCAGCCGTTTTCGATTTTTTCTCTTTCAATCATCATTCAGCAGCGGTACACTGAGCACCAACAATGCATGTATATTTTTTTCTCAACTTATGCTTTGCTGCTGGCCAGGTATTTGCAGCGAATGTGAGCGGCGTTAAAGTGGTCGTCATTGGCGCCGGATCGGCTGGTCTCAGCGCGACCCAGGATCTGATTAAAGCCGGATTTGATGTGACACTTCTGGAAGCGTTGAATCGCTACGGTGGACGGTTGTGGAGTGTACCTAGTGAAACTGGATCAGGTTCGTTGTTTGGCGATATCTTTACAAAAACTTCCTGGAAATTCGAGCTAGCTGTTCTTTATGTGAATTTTTCTTGTTTGTTTCACTCAAATTAGTGTTACTAATGCGAATATTGTACTAGTAGCAGTTTCTAAAGTATCGTACACAAGGTTGTACTGTACATATTATGGTGTAGGGTCAACTTGATTCCATGTCTGAGTATCAAGTTAAGTATTAGTTTCGCGACATTCAGTGTGCGAGTACAAGTATACAAGTACGGAATCTATCTTCTTAACGCTAGAATCATTTAGAACATTTGTTTTTACTCGTACATTCGTCATTAATGCGAAACTTTATTGATTAAAATAAAAATGAATTACTGAAATTCAGGATGGATCGAAATGGGCGGTCAGTGGGTGCATGGCGACAACCATCCACTGTACACTTTTACTCAATCCAAAAACCTACTAAAGAAAGCATACGAAGCACCGAAGAATGCCAATGGCGAAGATGGCAGTGAAGAGGAAGAAGATGACAACAGTAAACCATGGCTGATTAATGCAGATGGCAGCAAAGTATGCACTGATTTGCAGTTTTATTCGCAATTGGCTGCTTGGATATCCTATTATTATTTTGTGTATGCAGTAAATTTGTTTTTACCAATAAGGTTACAAACTTCCTCACCCACCTTCGCATGTATGGAGCGGTCAATTCGGTGACCTCGGATGAATCGGAATACGATCAGCTACGACAGCAACGCGACCTTTCCCTTGGCCAGCATTTTCTCAACTCTTACCAGAAATTAAGAAAACGGATAAAAGCTGAAAATCGTCAAGCAGCTGACGAAATGTATGACGTATTTATCAGGTGAGTAAAACCGGCAAATAAGGCGGAATAAAAACGCATTACATTAGCGGTATAAACTGTAACGAATTGGAATACAACAGAACCCAAAAGGAAGATTACGGAGCTGCCAGCTTCTTCGACGTCAGTGTCCAATCGGCAACCAATATTACCCTCGACGGTCCGGACTCCACGGATCTGAGTGTTCCGTATACGGACGTGCTAAAAATGTGGGCACCTGATGCGGTCGCCCGTGTGCAATATAACTCGATGGTTCGCCAAGTCCGCTTTAACCCATCGGCCTCGAAACCGATGATGGTCGTACTGGCCAATGGTACACAGATCATGGCGGATCACGTGGTGATGACCGCGCCCATCGGGCATCTCAAGGCGCATCTCCATGAAATGTTCAGTCCAGCGTTGTCTCAACGGAAACAATTGGCCATTCAGAGTGTTGGGTTTGGAACACTGGGCAAGGTGCATCTGGTGTATGATAATGAGTGGTGGACGGATGTGATGCCGAGCTACTGGACGTACCTGTACAATACCGGCAATGATATTAACGTCGACCGAAATAAATCATATGTAAGAGTTAAAAAACGTTGTACATAACTAATAATTTAGAATAATTTCCATTTTCTGTCCGGACCGAAATTTTAATCATTCTCTTCGGTTTCTAAACGTTGTCTTTGAAAAACGAATCCCACATGCGTGTAGACGTTTTATAAATACAGGAGCAGTGGGATGAACTTTTAGCAAAACTACTTGGTGGAAAGATCCGAAATTCTACATGAGTCCACCATTATTTCACCGACATTTATTTCCGTTTTTAAAATCATTGATTAAATGTGTCCTAGTGAAATCCATGTTACATTTCTTCAACTATTTTAGCCGGGCCAACCTTGGACGCGCACTGTAGATACGTTCATGGTAGCGCCGACCACCACCAAAACTATCGTCGTTCTAATGGGTGGTCAGCAGGCCGTGGACATGGAACGAATGTCCGACGCGGAAGTTTCCAAATCCGTGACCGACCTTTTCCGACAAACTACTGGGAAAAATCTGCCGGCGCCCAAGAAAGTTTTAAGGTACCGAATAATGCTCACAGAAATTCTTTTGCATTACATGTACTCTACTAATTAAGGATGATTGGTCATAGAGCAAGGTGGTCACAAAACGATTTATTCCGGGGAACATATAGCCACATTTCCCTGGATATGGTCAAGAAGGGTTTAACCACTAGTGACCTTGCCAGTAGTGAGTACCCCTACCAGAAAACAGGTAACGGGAGAACCGTACAGCTGCCTGGATTATTATTCGCCGGGGAGGCGACCCATCCAAAATACTGGCAGATGGTACACGGTGCCTTGCTCTCAGGTCAACGTGAAGCCAAAACGCTGAAAGATCTTTACCGCATGTAGTAATTATTTTATTCTGTCCTTGTTTCTTCGCTTGTATCTTCGTAACAATTTTCGGTTTGTTATCCCAGCTTCTGTAATAAATGTTCTGGGTTAACTTGATGCACACTACAAAATCAGTGATACCCCGATGCGATACAGTGCGCAATGTACGATATTCAAGCGCCATATCGCTCAAATATGCAGCGATAAACGAAGAAATACAGGGCTCAGTATTTCGAAGTTCTTTCGTCAGAGCAAATAACTATAAGCACATCTTATACGAACGCCCACAAGCTCACAGCCATACCTGGTCGAATTGATGTTAATGTTTCTACAAATTGACATACAGAATCACGCATGTATGTGTGCAAAAAATATTTTTGTATATTTTTCTTATGGTGGAAAAACCCACAATAACAGACGCATTTACCGGTATCGGTTATTTCGCCCGGCAAAACAGACGTTGGTTAATTTACTAGGGTAGTACAGCAAGGCAAATACGACTCGTATATGTATTGCCATAGGCTAACAATTGCTGCGCTATGTCGATTTATACCATTCTTCTGCACCATACGCAGTGTCCGGTCGCTGAGACGCTTGCATCAGTAAGAAACTTATTTTCTGCGAACACTGGAATTAACCTCCTAGTCGATTTCGATAAAGATAGACCAATAGTACACCAGACGCCAATCCAAAGTTCAACCAAGCTGCTGAAATTTTGTTTAGTATGTCTGCAGACCGCCAAGCGTTTGCTCAACGTTAGATCATATTTTTTAATACGTTTAAGTTGGCGAAAACCCATTTCCGATTGTCCGCAGCTTTATTGCTCAGAAAATTCATCTTTCATATCTGTGCGATTGCTACACTAAAATTAATTTCAGATTCAATTGGTGTTGCTCGTAATTCCCCAAAATGCCGGCAAGGAAGCACGTACTGGTACTGTGCTATCCGACATTCGGCCACTACATCCCCATGCTGGAGTTCGCCGAGCGCGTCGTCCCCTTCCACGATGTGACGCTGGTCGTGTCGGCCACCCGCGATCAGGAGATCCTCCAGCGCCACCTTTCTCCACCCGATCCCATTCGCCTGCACTTCCTAGACGACCAACTCAGCATCAACCTGGACGAGAACTTCACGGAGATGAAGCAGCTGATCCAAATCATTAAAGAACAAGCACCACATTACGCCAGATTCGTGGCCAGTTTAAACCAAGCCAGTTCAGCGTTGCCACACGTAGACGCGGTATTCTGTGATATCTTCCAGCATGCGCCATGCCAACCGTGTCATGATAAGGGCATTCCGTTGTACATCGTCAGTACATATCCAGCGGAACTGATTTGCGGGATGATGAGGATCGAGAAAGACACGCCCACGATCCCGGATGAGACCTTCTTCTCCAGTCAAGATGTTGGTGAAGAGAAAGAGATGGGAAGCTTTGCGCAAAAGAGCGGTAAAGTGGTGGAACTGAATCAGAAAGAAGCGGTGAAGTGCGCTAAAGGAATTCTCTTCAATTCGTTCGAAAAGATCGAGCCGACAGCGATGCAGGAACTCCAGAAAATTCCCGAATTACAAGACAAGAGTTTAATGTTTGTGGGACCGCTGATTCGCACACAGCGGAATTTACACCATGAGATTGAGAGCGGATTCCCGGCAAAGGTCATGCAGTGGATGAACCGGCAAAAGGAGCAAAGCGTTGTTTACTGCTCGTTTGGCTCGATTGCTGTGGCCTCAAAAGAACAGCTAATCGAAATCGGCAATGCGTTACTTGAGACTCAACGGCCGTTTATCTGGGCGCTGCGACCGTTCCAGCAGGAACACTTACCGGATACTTTCCAAAGGACAAATTATGATGATAATGTCAGCTTAAGCGCGAAATATTTGATCGTTCCTTGGGCGTCACAGAAATCGCTGTTGGCACACAGGGCTATCGCGCTTTTTATCAGTCACTGCGGCTGGAATAGTACGCTGGAGGCGGTGCATTGCGGGGTGCCGCTAATTGCCTGGCCTATGTTCGGCGATCAGCATTTTAATGCCAAACTGGTCGAGCAGGTGGGGATTGGTGTGGCGATTCCGGCAACGGGGATGATGAATGCGCGGCTGGTTCCGGCGCAAGAAATCAGCGAAACCGTGGAGCGGGTCATTGGGAAAACAGCAGATGCCGGAGACAGGTCGGGGTTTAGGAAGAAAGTGAGCACTTTGGCTGCTCAGGCCCAGCATGCTCTTTCGGAGGAAGGCACATCGACGCGCAATTTGGCGGAACTGTTGAAGAATTTGTAAGCGATGCGCAGTCGCCAGTGCCACTGTTGACTCTTGAAGTATTATTCTGTTTTGTTGACCATCAGTTAAATTTCTCCGAGGTGCGTTTTTGTTGCCCGTAACAATTTTTCGAACACATGTAGAAATCTTTGCTATGGCTTGCAGTGGCTGCTTAAATCTTTTTAATCATCCAGTTAATTCTGTGTATGTAAGAATTTGTGATTATTTTGTAAGTCACCCGTTTCGCAATTGTAAAACAATCCAGGAATGCAGTTCGATTAACCATAAATAAATTTCATAACTGAGTACAGTTTACAGATGTACAAATGATACAATGCTTGAATATCCGGTGAAACATACAGCGTCCAACATTATTCGGCATTACCCAGTACACGTATACGACACGACAGTGCGACACGCCTGAACAAATTTATTTACACTAATTGAAATTATTGAATTTTTTCAACAGTGAGTTGAACTCCAAAATCGTTACTGTCATTGGTAAAATCTTAGAACGGGCTTGCAAGGAACCCAAAAGGTCAAAACTACGAATCTGTGAGCATGAATCATATGCAGGGTAGAGGTAAAATTTATTTTTAACGATATTATTTTTGCTACTTCACTGGTTATTATTGGTATCTTTATTGTACTCTAAGGAAAAATCTTCATGAAAGGGAAGAATCCGTTTTCAGTCGGCACATCTTGGCACACCGTTATCTGTAATACATGTACAAATGGTCTAAACTCCCAGCGCATTGTAACTTTAGCGACTCAGCGTTAATAATTTATTGCGCTATAATTAGAAGACTCAGTTGTTTCAGTCATCCTCTCTGCGTCTTCGGAGTTATCCTCACAGTACTTCAACAGAGCGCAAGGCACTGCCGTCACAATCATGGCTGGAACAGCTATCAGGTAGCAGATCTGAAAAATAATGGGTATAAGGCAAAATTTGTTGGCCGTGACCCATGCAAACAGATTTATGTGTTAGTGAAAACAAGTCTGCTCATCATTACTGTTCTTATCACTACTACTGCTGGAGGATAAGCTAGTCGCCAGCCTTCCAGGTTTATCCCTCCCTCGGCTAAACAGGATCAGCCTACTTTCGTTCCATTCGTCATGCTATGTTTCATCTGTGGTCTTTCTCGTGTAAGACGCAAGCTATGTCTTGCCAGTTAACTTCCGCCTAGTCCTTAGTTCCTTACCGCACTTGGCTAGTTGCGCATTTCGCTTTGCTCAAGAAAGGGATTTCGGCTCTGAAGGGAATTCAACCTCTCTGCTCAGCTCGACCGCAGTTTAGCGCGAATTAATCGGACCCGGCCTAGCAATTCATCGCCGCGCACCAGTTTCCCAGCACCCGGGCTGATAAAGTGTCCACTTTACGTTGCCGCAACCGCAAACAAGCACATGAACTGTATATATCCTTTTATGAATTACGGCCAAGGTCAAAATGACGATGAGTTCTCCATCTTTTTGGCCTTGATTCTAACAGGCGAGACTCATCCTGCTTTATAGATAGACGGCAAGGTGGCACCAACCGTCAATATTTCATTTCTGCAAGTCGTTACTGACTAGCCTTGGCTGAACATACGATGGCCTGGAACTGAATCTCGCTGAATCTTTTCTGAAGCTAACACTAGACAAAGAATGATAGACGAGTAATTATGTTTTTTAACCAGTTTGCGCAATGTATACCGAATTAATCAAACTAAAACGGTCACTTAATAGGAACGTAACGGCGATACAAGCAAAGATACAGATAGGTTTTCTGAGAACGGGAAATAAAATGTAACACCTGTTTTGGTTCAGTTTCGCCATGGGCACAGCGAATGTCGTGCGTACTCAATCGCACACTTAGCCGTATTATTAAGGCTGCAATGTTGCACGAGGAACTCTGGCTATCAAGATTCGACCTGGTCCTGATGTACTACTCGTGGTTTGTAATAGAGTGTACTGATATGCCGCAAGTGGCAACGGAAGTGCTTTTTCAATAATCGCTTGTCACACGTTCGTAAAATAAAATATGCAGAATTGTACGAGAGCCATTTCATAAAGCGTGGCAATGGATATGTCGTTTTTAACTATAGCATGTTTCATTCATAATTTCCGTTAATTGTGTTTCTCTAATCTTTATGATTTGCAGGTAACATGTTTCCGAACTCATGAAACGAATCCACAAAAAAATTATAGGCAAAAAAGAGATCGACCCATACAAAATTTTTATCGGTTTTTTCTCTTTTTTTTCCTTTTGCCGCGCAATGATTTCTTTAAAGTTAGAAAAATTTTGAACTAGCAAAAGATTAAGGTATGTGAATATAATGAATGTATAGGAATATTCCAAGTTATGATCGAGAAAAATATTAATGCAGCTGCATGATGGAAGTGCCAACGTGTGTGTTTTCCTGGTGTTGAACCATACGGATGATGCCAATATTTTTAGCCTAGGTAGCCATGCACGAACTGATGCCAGTCGCCAGCCGCTGGCGGTACCTCGGCCATTGTCCTAATGAACTGGTTATGAATGCTACACTTTTTAAAAAAATAATTCGTAATTTTATGAATACGTCAAGTATTTTTTCATATCGATTGCCACTTTTTATGAAATGACCCTCGTAGCTCGTTTCGATTGAAACGAACCCAAGAATTTCAACTATCTGTATGTCTAAATAAATGTCATTAAGTATGTACTATAAATAAAAGCCATTAATAAATATCATTTAGTAAACATCATTAAGTACGCACATGTACGATAACACCGTTCGTATTATTAATACGTAAGCAGCCGTTTGTATTGAGTCATTGCTTACCGCTGAAACAAATCTTTCGGTTGGAATATCCGTGTTTCCCTTGCTGTAGTAATTAATAATCATAGAGCTGCTTATCAGCATGAAAGTGACGAAAAAAAAGCCGAGGCAATCCAAACAAGAGCGGCAACTACAACAACATCAATAAAAAATCGGTGTGTTTCTGGCAGCACAGAAAAACTCTGCCACCAAGCCGTATTGTGGGGTGTTAAAACCAGAATCGGAACAGTGTTTCTAGTTTTTGCAAAAGTAGTTTACTACGAAAAATTGGAAACTTGGTTGCACGCCCATGATACCATCAAAACTGCACCGATTTTACAGGTGGGAAGGAGATGTCGTTTGACTTACGATGATGACTTTTCGTTCGGATCCATGGGCGAAGATCCACAACAGCAGTCCATGCATCCTTTCACCATTGCCAAAGCAAACATGACGAACCCATTCCAGTCGTGCCAGCTTAGTAGCACTCGGTACGATGAGGGCCTCGAGTACACGATTATGTTCAGTATTGCGGCGGTAAAAAGCAGTCCCTAGATTAAAAACGGAACACGCAAGAACAAATCCACAAGGTCTTGAAGTCTTTACGTAAGTTTCCTCGCTTCCACTAACAGATAGGCATTGAGCATTCTTACCACGCCAACTATAGCTGGTATATAGAAGCAAGGGTTGACCTTTTTTCTCGCCATCTTCCAAATCTTGACGAACTATACCATTCGAACAGGCGACAATAAAGAACTTAGCAACGCAACTAATTTCTTTGATAAATAAATAAAATATACAATTTACAAGGTTCACAGGATATCTTTTGTTTGAAGAAGCCCGTACATCTACGATTTGTACTTGAATAAGAGGAGTACCAGTAGTTCCCCTAACAAACTAAAACGATTATAAGAACTAATAAAATGGTTCGAACTGGCTTCAGCCTTCTGCTTCACAGCACTATGTATGTACAGAAATCGCTAGAGTAGCAGGTGACGCTCATTGATAATAAGTTAGGCCCCGCTTTCATCTTTCCCGTTCTCCATTCTAATGTGCTGAAACGATGATATGTATAATATTTGAATAACGATACTATATACGGCTGCTATCTTTGAGACAGTGCGAGTACAGTCCGTACTAGATGATGTCACGATGCGACTGGAGTATTGTGTATCACTGTATTTCGGTAATCTACAGGAATTGCTCCGTTCAAAAACAAACAACAAAGGAAAGCCGTTTACGACACAATTTGTCCATATTCGAGATATGGCTTATGAAACTACTTATCAACCGGCACAAAATCGGTAAATATTAACAGCGAGCAAACAATCTGCCACGGTCGGATGACAATGACATACAGTATGTACATGATCTCCTAGCAAGTATTTAAGCAAATACAGAAGACAAACCTCGGATTACGCCGGAATTTGTGATCACCTCGTACCATATCAAGACTCAAGAGAATGCATTTTCTCTATCGGTCAATCCATGGGTAAGATCTTTTTGGCCGTTTTTGTAATTATGGACACTTTAATTAAACGAGTGCGTTTTGGCTGGCCGTGATTTTGTGAGATACTGTATGTTGCTGGAATTACGAGTAGTAGGCGTAGAGCTATCGTGTCCCGGTTGCATCGAAAGAACGCAAACGCACTGAGTCCCGTGTGGTGCAATTTACCGGTCAGAAACAATATCGACTGTTTACAGATGCGGTGCATGAAAAACATTAATTAACCAGTTGACGGGCATTGGTATTGGGGCACAACGACGTGTTCGGGGTTTCCCCCCCCCCCAATGATCGGCAACAGTTAATCGATATCCCATATTGTAGTAAGCCATAAGATAGGGGCTTTAAAGCAGCAGCAAAATTTAACTCAAACTTGTGTCCCAAGTAAATTAAGAACTATAGATTCGAGAATATCAATGTTTATGTCAGGTTTGTGTGGCTGCCGGCACAATGGGACGGATTCAGCGGGACCAAGGAATCCGGGTATTACGACACACGATACGCCCCTTTTGGTTGTGTTCTGTCTCCAGCTGTGTTTGGTTGTGTTCGGTCTGTCTTGGTTAGATCTTCATGTGAAGGGTATAAATTAGAGAATGTTACAACGCTAACTCGTGTCACTTGTCGCAGTAAAAAATTTCCGTCCATATTACTGATCGTTAAACATTTTTTCGTTCCTTTTACGTTAAATTATCTGTCATGTCTGTGACTCTCGAACAAGCTCGCACGTTCAGTCTGAAGCAACTGGGCCGCTTGAACCTTCCAGAGATCAAGCAGCTCATTGTCGAAGTTGAAGGCGAGCAAGTTTTTGACGAGCTGAAACCAGCTCTTGTTCAGCGGCTTTATGATTTACTCCACCCAGATGAACCTTTGAATCGAAACCGAAGCTGCAGCAGGTAAAGGTGACTCACCCTCAGACCTGGCTACAGCTATCGGAATTTCCGCGGCGTCGGTTTCACAGCTTTTCGACAACGGATACAACTCCATCGACGATGTTATTTTGCTGGGGAAAGTCAAGAAATTCCCGAGAACCTGACCTTTATCACCAGCATCCGCGACCGCAACCAGCTCGAGATCTTTGTACTGGAGCACGTGGTCAACTCTTCTCCTGTTACCGCCTCCACTGTTAATGGTCCTCTCCGTCGGAGCCGTTTAACAACGCGCACCGACAAAGCCCGCCAGTCAGCCTCGGATGACGAAAGTTCAGGCAGCCCGTCGAGCACGCACCGCAGTTCCACCAACGGCACCCGCACGTCCTTTTAGCCCGTAACCTTCCCCGACCGCATACGCTGCCTTTCGTGAAGGCAGCTCACAAGGCTGCTAAAGACGTTAAGCCGCATGAAATTTCGTGCGATGAACTATTTGCCGGCAACATTATGGCCGCCTTAGACCTCGCACGGAAGACCAACGCCTTACCAGTACTCATCGGGTTCCTGGAATACCAGGTTTACTTGTCTCGCAAACGCTGTATGTATGACGACGAAGCTGTTGTTGCGTTTGATTGTGAATTCCGTGAAGAAGCCGAGATTGAGAAGTTTGACCTTTCTGACACCTCGCGTCGCGACTGCACGGCTGATGGGTATTTTTCGGCGGATTCCCGCCGTACCTCGGGTTCTCAAGTTTTGCAGCCTAAGGTAAATTTGGTTCGGGCCAAGCATTTAAGCACCCGAACCTCCTTTCCGAACTACTGCTGCTTTAATTTCAACGAACACAGACCTTGCCGGGACGTCCCTTGTCGGTATCCACACATCTGCGGATTCTGCCGGAAAGACCATCGCGCCACCGCCTGCACCGAACAACCGGCTTCCAGCGCAAAGTGAGCTCGATTCCGTATGACCTCTGTATTCTACGTAGTTCCTGGATGGGTTATTCTGTCTACTTTTTGCCGCATACTGCCTTTGAGTTTTCCTTTGACCCGGATTCATCGCGTCCGTTCAATTGTTTTAGGCAAAGGTTCATCATTTGTCCGTCAACGCGCACACCATCATGACCGACTTGCATGCATTACTTTTCCCGGATCTGCTGCCTGAGTGTGTCTCCTTTCCTTATTGTGCACGTCTTCTACATGCATCGTGTATACTCCATTGCCGACTGCCGTTACCGTCTTGTGTATCCGCTTATGTGCTTTTAGCCTTCCGTACATGGTACGGAATTTGAGTTGCGTTGATTTGGCCAATCTGCGGAATTCCCAGATTGTCCACAAAAGTTCCTTGCCATTAGTTGCCTTGCATTGTCCGCGGGATGCGTCAGGATTTTCTGGCAGCCCGCTTCACCTATACGACTGCGTCGTATACGCCTCCCTTTGCCGTACTGTTCGGCGTGAATTCCGCCGAAACAGTTTCCATTGTCGTGTTTAACTAGTTTACCAAATTTTCAAAGAATTTATCCTCCCGCACATTACGTCAAACGCAGCATTAACGATGGCCCTCCACCACGCTGCACTGGTTCATCACGTCCTTCTTTTTGTGTTTTGTCTTGGGTTTGGGCTTGGGCCGTTTCCGGCCATGTTCGGCATATTTGCCCAAAGGAAGTAAAATTCGAGCCCACTATCGTCGTTGTCGCGTGGCGTGTAGTAATGGGACGGATTCAGCGGGACCAAGGAATCCGGGTATTACGACACACGATACGCCCCTTTTGGTTGTGTTCTGTCTCCAGCTGTGTTTGGTTGTGTTCGGTCTGTCTTGGTTAGATCTTCATGTGAAGGGTATAAATTAGAGAATGTTACAACGCTAACTCGTGTCACTTGTCGCAGTAAAAAATTTCTGTTTTTTTTTTCGTGTGATGGCTTGGGGCCGTTTCCGGCCATGTTCGGCATATTTGCCCAAAGGAAGTAAAATTCCGAGCCCACTATCGTCGTTGTCGCGTGGCGTGTAGGAGTAATCGAAGCATTTTATAAATATTCAGGATCAAAAATCAAGCAGGTCCGCTTTGACCGCTTCAACCGACGGACGGTCGTTCTTATACGAGAACGTTGGGAACTTGGTAACTTCAGTTTGTAAAGTTCATGGTGGCTTCGCGCGCTTTTCATTTCCCATCGCTTCTGAAATAGTCTGCTGGTGACGGTGCACCGCATAGTGCCATTGGTGGCCTGGGCCTTATTCGGGCATCCGCACTTTACCGCGAAGTTAATGGAACAAGTAGGAACTCGTGTGGCTATTGCGAGAACGGGGATGATGAATGCGCCGTTGATTCCGGCACACAAAGTCAGCGAAACGGTGGAGCTTGTAATCGGAAGAACAGGAGATAGAGAAAGCGTATTGAAATTTACGCAACTAGTCCGCACATTGGCTGATCAGGCCCGGCATGCTCTCTCGGCGAATCGATTTTGCCTGGTAATTTGGAAGAACAGTTAAAAAATTTGCAAACATGTTCCATCGTCATTTTTCAGTTATGCAACATCTGCTTTGTAGATCATCGTGAGCATATTTAAAATTTTACCAGCACTTCTTTTGATCTAGGTAAGTTATCTAACTGGGTATTAAAAATTGTTACGTTGGATTCTAACAATGTTTTATTAAATACAAACTGTATATAGATTTTCCTACGGCTATTATTCAAATGTTTTAAAAATGTGTATTTCTATTTAAGTTCTAAATCATTTTCTTTTCATAAATGGAAAGCTGTCCACAAAAGGAATTCGATAACACAGCAATCGGTATTTTTTACCAGTTATTGCAAATCTGAAACAAGCGATTAGCAAACTCTACAAGGCAATGATTTGTAAAACAGTATAGTAAAGAAATTTATTATAAGTATTATTCTGTTCGTGAGAAGTCTGAAGTACTAACGATAGAATGATAAAAAGTAAGATACAATGACAAGGCGCACTCCACTGGCAGCAGACATAAAGCATGTTCACGAGATGCCGAGAGAATTCTCAACGACAATGTCGGCAATTTTTAACCGCAGAAAACTTGAACAGTTATTGACTTCGAAATGCTTCGTGGAACACCGCATCCGTACCAGTTTATTTTGAATGTCTGTTGCTGACTAACGGGAAAAAATTGCCGATAATGCTTATCATGACAACAAATGTAGTCGGCATTCTTAGTACTTCCCAAAAGGAAATCGCATAACACACTAGCTGTGCACAACATATAAAAGCAACGGTGAATGTCCGGTTAAATGAACAGCATCCACCAATCGAGCTTTTTTTGGTGCGCTAAATTAATTTTGTCCAGAAAAATGCACCTGTATTTTACAGCTGTTTTGCTATTACCGCTCACGTGTCAGTTGTCAGCTGCCACTAACGGTGTCAAGGTGGTGGTAATCGGCGCCGGATCAGCCGGTCTTAGTGCGGCACAGGATCTAATTAAAGCCGGATTCGATGTCACGCTACTGGAAGCATCCAGTCGGTATGGTGGACGTTTGTGGAGTATTCCTAGCGAAACCGGAAAAGGTTAATTTAGTGCATTAAGTTACGGAAAAATTATTTTATTGGCATGTATTGCTAAGTTGTTTTCTTTTTTACTTTAGTAATTACTTATTTATGTGCATTTTAACCACAAAACTATAATTACAGGATGGCTGGAAATGGGCGGCCAGTGGGTACACGGGGACGGTCATGCCTTGTACAACTTTTGCCAAGCGAATAATCTTCTTGCCGACAACAGCCGGCGCCGTCGGAAACGCAGCGCAGATGACGATATGTTCACCTTGATGAACGCCGACGGCACCAGAGTACGCATAATTAAAATCCATTTATAGGGCTACATCGACGAGCTGATCTTTTCCTTAAATTGTTGCGTTTTAAGGTTACGGATATGCGCACACGTCTCAAGATTTATACGGCTCTGGATGATACTGTGTGGGACGATGACGAGTATGATACGTTAGAAGCGCAGCGTGATTTATCTTTCGGACAGCATCTTTTGAATTCTTACCAGAAGGTCCTAAAAACGGTTACCGCTGATAAAGTCGCTCTTGCCGACCAAGTCTTCGATGTCTACGTCAGGTTCGTGAGTCTGCCGGCTTTGATCAACAAAACCGGAAAAGTGTTAACAGTTGGATAAATTTTAGAAATCAGAAAGAAGAATATGCCGCTGCCAACTTCTTCGACATCAGCGTCCAGTCGGCCACCAACATGACGCTGGACGGGCCGGATGCCACTGACCTGCGTGTTCCGTACACAGACGTGCTCAAGTTATGGGCACCGAATGCGGTCGCCGTTGCGCAATATAATGCCACCGTCAAACAAGTCCGCTTTGACCGCACAGCAGCGCGAGCAATGACGGTCGTTCTGTCCAACGGCACACAAATCAATGCCGATCACGTCATCATGACGGCGTCCATAGGATATCTCAAGGCTCATGTCGATACGCTGTTCAGTCCAGCGTTATCCGAGCGAAAACGCACCGCCATCCAGAGCGCCGGTTTTGGGACACTTGGGAAGATTCATCTGATTTACGACAATGAATGGTGGGCGGATTTGATGCCGGATTACTGGACGTACATGTACAGCAGCGGCAACAACGTCAATGCTGACCGGAATAAAACATACGTATGTTTAACCAAATGAATAAACAAAATTATTGATTTTTCAGTTTGTTTTATTTGGCAGCCAGGGGCATTGTGGACTCGCGCAATAGCGTCCGGCTTAGTTGCTCCAACAACCGACAGAACCCTGGTGATTTTAATGGGCGGTCCGCAGGCGGTGCAAATGGAACAGATGTCGGATGCAGATGTTTCTAGTGCAATTACTTCGCTGTTCCGCCAGAGCACTGGAAAAAATGTGCCGGAACCGAAAAAAATCTTACGGTATGTAATCCCCATTATTCACATTATTTACGTAGAGAAGAATGATATTCCGTTCCCGACACATCCACTGTTATTGCCAAAAGGCCACCTAGTAATGCTGCACCCGCGCAAAGCTCGTACTCACGTGACAGTCATTGCGATATATGTATGGCATGAAAGACTGTTTCTACATGAAAACTGAGAAAATCGGTTTGTCGTGCGATCAACATCGGCGCCGTTTTTTATCCGTAAATTTTTGTTCGGCTGCACGTTCTTGCGATGGGAACGCAGTGTTTCCTAAACTCATACGTCTAACCAGTGACGATTTAATGGTTTTACAGAGGAAAGTGGTCCCAGAACGACTTATTCCTGGGAACCTACAGTCACATTTCCATGGATATGGTCAAAAAAGGAATTACGACAGCTGATTTAGCCAGCAGCGATTATTTCTACGGAAAGAGCGTCAACGGTCAGAATGTGCAGGTCCCCGGGTTGCAGTTTGCCGGTGAGGCCACCCATCCCAAATACTGGTCCATGGTGCACGGTGCTCTGTCGGGTCAACGGGAAGCCAAACTACTCAAGCAGATTTATAGCAAATAACAGCGTTTTGCACATGATGTGACTATGAGTACCGAGTACTTAAATCGACCTAACGTTTTCCACTGTGTGTGCGTACCGTGACACGTGCAGACTGGGAACAGAACTTGAGCGTGTTACTTGGTGCTATGTATAATGTTGTCATGAATAGGGTCAAATACCCCCTCGAAATAACAGAAAAATCTGAAGGTGGGTCTCCCACAAAATACGATTTTATCGCCCAAAAGAAAAAATACGTTACAAGGAAAACTAAACTGATCATTTTATACGAAATGCATGAATTATGCATCGGTAGCCGCCGAGAACAGTTGCTACGCACATCGAGCACACACCGTGAAAATTTTATTGAATTTGTCAAACTATGAATCGGAAATAAAAAGTAGCGGCACAAGAAGCAAGTTTTAGCTGACAATTTATTCTTTATGACGGGCAGGGAGAAGGACAAGGAAACGTGTTGGAACTCAGTTCTTTAAAAGCGTAACGTTTGTCGTGCAAGGCATTGGAAACCGGATACGTTGTGTAAGCATGATAATCGCGGACGACCCAGTATTCTGCGGAGGTGGGAGCACCTCCATGATGTACAAGCCATCTGTCGTCAAACAGTATCTCCGTTATCTGCAATTGGCTGGAGCCGGCAGTAAAAAGGGCAGGGTTGATGTTGATGGTGTTACCGAAACCAAGGTTGATTGCCAGGCGATGTGTTCCGGTTGTGACACGATCCTGAATCCATAGAGCTCCGGAAGAAGTGTCTTGATAAACCTTCCAGTTGTTAGCCACCAGCAAGGTCTGCAACTGCACACTGTTACTTGCTGTAAGATCGGCAACTTGGATCAGTCCGTTTGGACGGATATTGATGCTGGTGCCCATGCCAGGGTAGAATGCCACACGATTATCAGAGGAGGGAGCGCCACTGTTGTCTCTAACGACTAATATACTGCCACCCTCTTGGCCAATCGTCCAGGTGCCAATGGTAACCATGGGCGTCCCCACGTTAACGGATGCCGAGAACGTTTTTGCGTTAATTTGACAGTTAGCTTGGACGTTCACACAGTCCTTGGTAAAAGGCCACAAAATTGTTAGGAGCGCTGTTGTCTCGGAAAACCAAAGGATTGCCGCCTTCCTGGCTGATAGCCCATGTGTTGATGCTGACCTTTGGAGTGGCAACGTTTACGCTTGCGGCAAAGGTTTTGGCGTTTACTTGACAATCGGAAGTGACTGTCACACAATTGCAGACCTTGATAGAATGCCACCAGATTGTTTGACGAAGGACCTCCGCTGCTATCCCGGAAAACCAAGGGGTTACCGGCCTCCTGGCTAATCGCCCAGGTATTCAGGCTGACTTTTGGCGTGACAACACTGTCACTGGCTTTAACTGTTTTAGCATCCAGCTCACAGGTGGGTCTAGCGTTTATGCAGTCGCCCAGTCCCTTATAAAACGCAACGCGGTTATCAACTCCGGGTGCACTGTTGTCCCGGAAAACCAGTGGATCATTTCCTTCCTGAAGTACTGCCCAAGTATTTATGCTGACTTGAGGCGTGATGACGTTGCTACTCGCTTTAACTATTTTAGCATCCAGTTCGCAGGTGGGTCCGGCGTTTATGCAGTCGCCCAGTCCCTTGTAAAACGCAGCGCGGTTATCAACTCCAGGTGCACTGTTATCCCGCAAAACTAGTAGATCATTTCCTTCTTGGAGAATTGTCCATGTGCTAATGCTGACCTGGGACGTGACAATATTGGTACTAGCCGTGATGGTCTGAGCCTCCAGTTTACAAGTTGGTTTGCCATTGATGCAGTTGCCCAGTCCTTTGTAAAACGCCACGCGGTTATCCCTTCCGGGCCCGCCGCTGTTATCACGGAAGACCAGTGGATCATCGCTTTCTTGAAGAATCGTCCAAGTACTTATGCTGACCTTTGGCGTAACAACATTTTGCTGGCAGAGAAGGTCTTGGCCTCGACCACACCGTTCGGGCGGACGTTCACACTGGCGTCGATGTTCGGATAGAGTGCTACGCGGTGATCTCCTACAGTCATCAGATCCCGGAAAACCAAGACCTTGTCTTCTTCCCGGATGACCCAATCATTGTCACCGAAGGTGATCTCTTCCACCCGCAGCTTTCCTTCTGGATCAACAATCACTGCCTGACCGCTGCCTTCCTTGATGACAAGTCTATCGTCGCCGCTGTTGGCATCCTGGATGGCAAGATAGTGATCGCCATCGCGTTCCACATCCCGGATTACAAATTGGCCGATGCGTATTTCGTTTGCCGTCAAAACATCTGAAAACGCACGATTGTTGGTTGGTCAGAAGCAGTAATCCACAGACGAATATAAATACTTACAGTTGTATGAATGCCTAGCTGCCACCAAACACATGCATCTACATACTGTGCATGTACACAGTACTAGGTAGGAAATTTCCCGTAAAGCAGTTCTTTACTACTTTATATAATGTTAATAGATTTATCATACTTGCTCTAATGTCAGAACTTGCACTGCCGGCTGACATTGGAGGCGAGGGCGTGGACGAACGTGCAGTTTCGCAATAACACGGCTTGTATCCATTACCGTAGTAACTTTCGTCGCGAACGTCACTTTTATGTCTGCAGCAACACAGACGGCAGATTCTTTATAAAACCCATTATAAGAGTAGAAGACGGTGCATCACTCTTTGGGTAGTTTCACAACCATCGTATTCTGCTAAATGCTCACCTTGGCGCTGACGAATCGCGTCCTTTCCAAAATTCTGGGCTATCGTCGTTGTACATGGACTGTCGGGCATTCCTGTTAACGTTAACATTCGTTTTCTTGCTTAAAACCATTACAATGATAAGTACTGTTTATCGAAATAATTTTTCTTAGACAGAATGAAGGCAACATAAAAATGACCGTAAACTTGCCCATGCAGGCGCCTTGATGAATTCCTTTGCGACGGTTATAAACTCCATCAGAACTGCGGTGCCCGTCATATGCTGTCGTTGGCAAAACGAAGACCGCCTGAGCGATAAAGAGGTAAAGTAAAATAACGGATGAATATTCTGGAGCACATCGATGTTTTTCACATTGCGAACACATTTAAACAAGTTTTAATATACGCGTCATTCTGCTGTACTTTGTTTTATGGACTTACTCATTTGTCACAGTTATCACTTCGTTAGATTCACAGTACATACTTTGGAATTGTAAAAATTACTTCGTGTTGACCAACGCGAGAATCTGTATGTTTCCAGCAAAATCATAGAGTAAAAGCGTTTTTACTGCGAGAACGTCAAAGTACGTACTTATGCAGAAACGCAGCTGCTGCGGTAGCTAACTTAAAGTGCACTTTCGAATAACAACTTTTTAATTGGGAATTTTCGAAACCGGTTTAAGTTTAAGCACAAACTCAAGTTCAAGTTGCAAATTTGAACGGGAAGTTGAATTGTTGTTTCAACTTGTGCAAATATAACTTTCGAAAATGACTCCGTACATGATATAAAACCCTGTAACGATTGTTTAATAAACTCGATATACACTTACGGAATACAGATACAGGATGATGTAGTGCCAGATCCAGTACACCATGATTCTTTTGTTAATTAAAAGTTTCAAACAGTAATTAATATCTACTTTTAGCTGCAAAGGCTAAGGTTCTTGCGTAATATCAAAACATTTTAGCTGTTATTATCATAACTGGATTATGACTTCTTTTCCTCTTTCTGTCCAGAGCGCAAATGCCGTACAGCAACCGCGGGTTGAAAGAAACTGTGTACGGTATGAGCGGTACGGTATTACAGGTGTAGGCCGTAATGAACTGTGAACGAAAATAATTTGGTACAAGGTATGTGTGGCTGTACCTACTGCACCAAATTTAATTTTTATGTTGGGTTTTTGTGCAATAGCACGTACTGTACACACACCAATCGGCTCGCTAATTTTGTGATTAATGCACCATACTAATGCTGTACGGCGTGTACGCAGCGCACGGTAACCTATGCAGTTAAAACAAAAACCATTCAGTTGCGATCAGATAAAGTTCAGCGTATACCATTCACAATGGGTTGGGTCTAAAAAACCATCGGCTAGTTGAACAGTGTAATGGTCGCAAGAAACTACCGTAGTCACTTCAAAGTCGAAGAAAACCTGCGTTACCGCGGCGCGTTTACCAAGAACGAACAGCGCAAAGTCCGACCGAAAACGTACACCGCTCCACTGCAACCGCATTGCTTGGCAGTTCCGACAGGTTGTACGAGTCGGTCGTTTGCACGTGACTCAAAAATTAATGATTCAACCTCATTAAATTTTCACCAAGAAAAATCACGACCTCTACACATCATCACGCTTAATTCTATGAATAAGGCGTGTATGCAATCCATGGAAGTCGCAAATAGATGAAGATTTATTGGGAATACCGGATTGGGAATACCGGACAAAAATAAAACCATACAGAGCCATTTACGTTGGTTCCTCGTCCGAACTGCAGCAGTTAAACAAAACAAAAATGTTGTACAATGCTTGTGCATACTTTTTATTGGAACATCAGTCTCCATGGGGCTCATGCACGTTCTTATTGACCATCGGAGAAGCTCGATATCTGTTAGGCACATTATAAAAACAACCGGCAAGCGAACAACTGCATTAAGTATAAAAATTTTGATTAGTTTTCTCCTTATAAGCGTATCTGTAATCTTGCCTTCCGTTAAGATATGCGTCGTAATCGCGGAGGACAAAGTATTCTGGACCAGCCGCAGGGTAGGGACCATGATGGAACAACCATTTGCGTTCGAACTGGATTTCGGTTACTTGCAGCTGCCCGGCTCCGTTGGTCAGCACCGCCGGATTGAAATTAATGGTGCTGCCGATCCCGCGATTAATGGCGATACGGTGCAGTCCAGCCGTCACACGGTCCTGTATCCACAACGCTCCACTGCTGTCATCCTGGTACAGTTTCCAGTCCTTTCCGATTTGCAGGTCATTCAGATCGACGGCGTGCAGTTTCAGTTTGCCTTGGCCTTCGAAGGTGGACGAGCCCAGGCCTTCTTTGAGCGCCAGCCGGTCTTCATCGCTACCGGTGGCGTCGCGGAATACCAGGCAGCGTTGTCCGTCCTCATCGCACTCTTCATCACGGATCAGCCATTGGCCCAGACGGATTTCTTTCACCGTTAACGAATCTGTCACAGAAAACGTCACAGAAAACCGAAAACCGTTTTACCACAGCAAAGAGAAGCAGTAGGTCTGTATTTTGTTCGACAACAATGTGGACTCGATATTGGCAAAGGTCACACTTATGTTAGCGGCTTTGCAAGGCTTACTTGCGCTGATATCGGTTGGATACGCTGACGGTGCCGGTGCGGCCGTTGCAGGAGAGCTTGTTGGCGGGGGGCATACACATTCCACTGGTTTTGGGCCATAATTGTCGTAATTAGATCCACGAGCACTGTCTCGGTAACTACCGCACAGAATCATGGTATAAACGTTACGATTACGGTTATCCGTTAAAAAAGAAAAGAAATTAAGCAGAGCAAGCAGCTCGTGGTTTGAATGCATTACAGCACAGTTCTTGTTTACCTGTTCGAGCGTCCAGTTCCGTTGTATAAACGACCGGTTAACTGCGAATCTTTGTAGGTCGGTCTTCTCGCTGATGAATGAGAGATACCGATAATCTACGACAAGAATTCGGTTGACCAGCGATTAGACAGAAACTGCATAAAGCACTAAATGTATGTATCTATAGAAACGGTCGATTACTAACCATAAAAGCATGCAGCAAGGCGTAATAAATGCAACCCATTTTTCAGCCTGAACGAGCTGTGTATGAAGGTAGACCGCCTGAGTACTTCTTCGTTTACTAAAAAACGAAAGTGTATCTTTTTGGAAGAACAGATGGGCGAAATCGGTTTTGTAAAAATGGTGGTAAACTGTTTGGTCAAATCGGTTATGCAAATCGGTTATGTAAAAATGGTGGTAAACATGCAAAAAAGCTTGCATAACACACGCACGCATAAGGGAATCAAACAGCAATCATAGTTCGTTACTGTACTACCAACACTTTTATGTAATTGCTGAATCGCGAGCCAGAACTAGCCTGCTTATTTGTTACACGACATTTTTCGCAACAAGCTGCCAACAGCGTTGTGGTAGCGCATTTTGTTATTTACCTACAAAAAGCCGCGGATTACAATTTTCGGAGTTCTGTTACTTAACTTCCAACTCGGATTACAGAAGGAAGCAGTTGTAGAAAGAAATTATTGAAACAGTGTGAAATGGATAGCTGGACACATAATTTTAAATCAAGTTGTTGGCAATAGTTTTTAAATATAAGTAATGTACTTATTCACAACATCAGATGTAGTGTCTGGAAGTCGGATGGTGTTCTAACAGCCAAGATCAAATAAGTATATTTGCCTACACATTTTCCTTGTTGCTTCTGGAAATATATATTTATATAAATACATATATATATAAATGTAAATATATTTAATAAATATATTGATCAAATATATTTGCCTACACACTTTACATTTTGCTTCAGGAAATTGTGGAAATTTCGCGTCTCGTTATTAACATGCTATGGCGCATGTACCACAGTACGAGTATTGCTTTTGGTTAACTTGTATGAGCTCCGGCACGTCTGTACGACGGTGCGGTTTGTCCTGTGTTAAGTGATTTATTACGAGTAATTCCATGTTGTAACACGCTGGTTTTACTTGATTCTGGAGGCAGAATCAGTCGATCGATATGTGAGCTAGCGAAATAAGATCTAATAAACTTGTGTTGAGATATCCGGATATTCGTGTGTTGTGGTGACCTTCTAAAGACAACTACGGACAGTTATCTGAGCGAAAATCAGTGTGTGAGTCGGAAGTAACATCATCCGACTAAATCTGGGACAACAACATCGTCTAGCAGGATCCTGGTGTGTGTACGCGCGTGTGTGTAGGAAATATTAGTGCTAATATTTCCGAGGTTACCATTATTGTACATCTAGAGCATATTCCATCTTTATTGCCTGAGTAAGGTTGGTCATCCTGCTGTACTTGTGAGTACAAGTACACAGAGCATGTCATTATTTTAACGAGCTTGCTGTTCGCAAGCTATGTATCAAATCGGTTTGCTCAATCCGAAGTACCAGAGATAATATGCAAAAACTAGTAGGGCATACAAATAATAAGCAGTTAATTCCGTAAACATATAATCAATAGCTGTTACAATTTGAACCATATACTACCTTCAAATTAAATCAAAGTCAAGTCTTCTGCAAGGATAATTTTCATACCGTAGGACGGAGGGATGCACCATGCGCCGTGCACATATGACGTAAAATGTACAGCTACTTTTTATCAGTGCAGTTCGGCATTCAGTTAACAGTGAAACGCTGAATACTGAAGAAAATGTGTATTTCCTCAAGACAAAACCACAATAAAATATCTACAGGTGACCTTTACCATAACGTTTACAGATACGTCTTTTAAAAGGGAACTTATGCGAATACTTTATTTACTCGAGCTTGAACTAAGGCATAAATATCAGAGATGAGTCTGTGATTGACTGAATGACTGGCTGTCTTTATCGGTTTTGTGTATTTAGGTGAACCATGTGGCTTGTGACTTGTGAGCAGCAGAGAAGAGATTTATGCAGCGCAGAGCAACAGACAACGCAGCTGACAGAAGGGTGCATTAAAAAAGGTCACTGAGTAACCGGCCTTCCGTAGCTGCCAGAGCAGGACATTTTGCTGCCGAGATGTATGTGTACATTGTCGCCAAATCTGCATCAATGTGACAATTTTATGGGGGGAATTGTATTAGTGAAATATGCTTTTAACTTGTTAATTGCAGAAAAGTGATTTAAATTTCCATAATGTCTTAAATGATTTGCAAAGTCTTCCTTTTTTCTAAAAAAAACTTTATTGAACAAAATATGTAGCAAATTGCAACAAAAGATGAAATAATGCGCGGGTTTTAGACAATCAGCCAGTATTTTCGTTAACGCGACAGTAAAACCTTCCGTAAGACCGCTGTTCACTGACTGTTATTAGTTTCTTTCTTAATTTGGTATGTTGGGAACAAAGTGAATAAAGTATGCGTCAGTTTTTATGAAAAGCTGGTCAGTGAAAGAGAACGACAAACGGTGGTTCTTGGGAACCTTTTGTTCTTTCGAAAATTTTGGTATCCACAGTAGTTTGTGATGCCCACATCGTGTATGCTGGGATCGACTGCGAGCTGATAAATAAATAGGCACATTTCTGCTTCCTGTTTCTTAATGCCAGAAAATACGTGCTAGTTCGAATACGAGTCTTAATGTAATGCGAGTGATGTGTTGATCCCTTAGAAAACTATTCTATGAAGATCCCGCTGTTTCCCATCCAGCACATCAATCGTCTTCAGCGTGTTAATACTATGTAGTTTCAACCGACGAAGGCATTGTACGTGTATCATCTCAAAGAATTTCTTTGTACTTGATCTAACCGCGGAACAAAAGCCTTTAATAACTGCCTGACTGACTGTCAATGGTAAGAAAAAACGCGAAACAGAATATTCATAAAGTGTAATACGTACTGCTTGTAATGCATACATAATTATCATAATGCCTGTAGTCAGCGCTGCGCATAATATCCGTGCATAAAAAAACATGATAACAGGAAGCGTTTTCTAAGACAGTTATTAGCATATTTACTGCGCTACACAGTAGCTTACTTCATAGAAAAAAGAGCCAATACCGTTCCCTGTCATACTGTATGATAGATTAAGGTTGATCAAGAAACCCGCTTGACTGCCAGTAACATCCGCGGAGTCACACAGGTAAAGGAATCCGTCGTCGTAAGCCGCAGTTCGGGATTGTCGTAGTTCGGAGCATTTGTTATGGAGGACCACAGAGCGCGATTACCGATGCTGTACGCTACCAAATTCCCGTCCTCCTGCAGTCGGACGCTGTTAATGCGCTCCTGTGTCGCTGCCTTGAAACCGATTCGATTGTCTTGCCGGCGCACCACCATTAATTGCTGCCTGTTGAAACGGGATGGTCCCAACGTGAATTTGCCGTTCGAAGAATAGAACAACATATCCAGATCCATATAGTCTACCATTCTAACTACCACTAAAGACAGAAAACGTAAACTGTTTCAACAACCAATTATATAAGACTCTTTTGGAAAGATTGTTTCGTTAGGCTATGCTTACCAGATAATTGTACGTTTCTGCTGGAGCAAGATTGACCCGACCACCACACTGCCCTGAGTGCGGAAGATCGAGACGATCGCCAATAGCATCCTTTATCGTTGCACAAATAGAAATAACCTTGATCCGACAGCAGTCTCGATTCGCCGTATCCCCAGGTTTCGGTGGACCAGTAGGACGTCGAGGCTGCCACCGTTCCCCATGATCCGACGGTGAAATGGCCATCGCTGCCCAGTACGGCGCGGGCGGAGGCAGTCCAACGGTCTCCGAGGCCCACACCGCCCGGCCGTCGCATTCCCGGTACAAAACTAAATTCTGGTCGGTTTGCAGAATCAATCGGTAAGCTCGCGATGGAGTAGTAGCTAACATTGGGCGTCAAGAATTCGCCGGCTCCAATATCACTGCAAAACCATACTTCTATATGGATCACCGCAGTCGCCACAAGTTCGAGCTTTTCTGCTTACCGCTGCCATTTCCGTACTGTGCATCGCAGCTCTACTGCGCTTTTGTCAGGCATGGAGGTGGTCGTTATACTTCTTTCTTGGTCCTCTAAAAAGTAAAAGAAACCATTTTGCTTGGTAACTTCGCTACAACATTCGCCATGCATAAAAACTCTGTTTACATACCAAGCTCTGCAACCTGCTGCTTTTTCAACTCAGCAGCTGCAGTGCGATTTGTCCAGAAAGAGTCTTCACTGTCGTTCTCCTTAGCCGTTTCTGGTGCCACCTATTTTGAATCCATTTATTCGCAGTTAATCAACTGATCATGAATCGTTGCATACGTGTGTTGGATTCTTACCTGAAGATGTAGGTCACGAAAACCCGCTGCGATCGATTCAAGATTACTGAGCCACGACGGCATGCCGGAGTTCATACTTCTTGCAAGGGTATAATCCGTAAGTCTACGAGCGGAGCATACCGAATTTAATAACGGTTTCAGCATTAACGCGATCTAATTTGCGACTGGACACTTACTGCTTGGTAAGGCGACTGCTGGTGTGGTAACTGCAGAAGCAGCAATAATACAGTAAAACCACATTTTGAACGATCAATTGATTTTGTACTTATTAGAACGTGATTGACCTTAATGTACTCTCAACCGTAATGTACCTACTCTCAACTTGCTTTCAAGCAACCACCGGGAACAGCATATACATCGGTGCTACCATACTCCTAGATCGATAGCACAACTTGATCGTCGATACCATTGATAAACATCGATGGATAATCTTGATTGCTGATATTTGCCGTTACTTGGTACAATGCACATGTACATACAAAGCGTCATTCGGTCCGGCTTGGTTCTAGCAGTGCATGTATGCTAATCGCTCAATCTTCTGGCGCGTCATTCTTTTATCCGTTCCCGTTTTTCCAGACACAGTCACTATTTTCGGAAACTGTGTACCATTTCAGAAAACACCGGTAAATGTGTTTGGTGATTTTAAGTTGAAACGTCATCTGGCATAGCTGACTGGCATCCAGATTAAATAAATGGTCATGGACTTACGACGTCTGATCTTACATGTACCGTAAGTGATTCTCTCAAGTTAATACCACAGAGTTCGTGCACGGGAAATCGCGCTTGCAAAGTGTGCACTGCCAGCAGACACAAACAAACATACCTATACACACATTGCATGTACTACCATATATTCGTACTCGTACACAAGGTCTATGGTAGAACTTGCTTGTATGTACTGTACCTTTTACGGTATAGTTTAGTGGACTCTGTAAGTAAAACAACACTTGTTAGTGCAATGACAAATGGATAAAACAACACGGTTAACTATCTGACAATACTCATTAATTAAATAAGTTATCAACTGACCTTTGTTTGCTGAGAAGCAGCGTCTGACTTGTCCTCGACATGCAGATACTCTTCTCAGAAAGACTTCTGCAGAAAGCGCGATCTAAGCCCGATAATCAATGTAATTCTCTGCCAATTTGCTTGTAACGAGAATAATGTTTTATACATAATACAATGGTTTAGCGTCCTCGTACAACAATTTCTGCTCTTTAAAGTCGAAAACAATGATTGTTAGGTGGCGGACGGCAGGTTACGTGGTTTTCGCAAATTGTACATCCAGTTACAACCATCTCTACTATCTTCGGAAACAATGATGTTTGGGGTACAGATGGGATCTGCGCTGAAAATTGTCAATTTGTACGCAATGCTAACAAACTATATCGCCATGTATCCGCTCTCAATTACAAACATAGTATAATAAGTAATGTTCTATCTGGAAAGCAAACTTAAATGTCAAAATTCACTTGTTAATCATTCCCATATCCATAAGCAAACCATCATCCAACGCTGCTAAACTGTGGTTTTATTTGTTGAATTAAATTATGTTGACTTATTTCTGTTTCGACTTGACATACATACGAACTCAAGTGCAGTAACTCAAATCTTGCCTGCTGGCTTTATTCACTTTGTGCAACTGTTACTGATAACTATGGAGTAGAAACAACAGAGAAGAGATTTATACAGCGCAGAACAACAGACAACACAGTTGGCATCGAATGCATCACAAAGGTCACGAGTAGCCGGCCTCCCCGTAGCTGCCCGGCGGCCTGGGCAACACTCTGCTGCACGGCGTCATGAATGGCGCTCTTCAGCTCCGCTGCTTCGGGAACTGCCAAACGCACAAACAATTTTACCCTTTATACATACAGCCATCGTCATTTCTTATTCATTCACGTAGCGTACCTTCTTTCCATGCTTGCAAATTCACGCGGGAGAAACGGTCCTTTACATGGCACTCTCATTTCTGTTACCCAAGAAAATACATGTTATTAGAAATTACTCGTGGTATTAACGTGGTACGTATATAACCCTTGTACCATGTAAGGACCGCTTTGGATAGTGTTACTTACACTAACGGCAAGACATGGACGAAAGCGTTGGGCTGTACAGTCTCTACTTCATCGGAATTATCGCAGATAATCCGGGCTATACTGCTCCTCCTCAGTTCGTAAAGTTGCTCTGCAAAACGTACTATATTCATAAATAAGACTAACGATAGTATTCCGTTTTTCTTCGGACTGCCACACTGGTAGACAAACAACAAAGTTATTAACGGTAGACCGCTTTAAAGACAGAATGATTGTCATACCGGAATTATCAGTCTTCGCTCAGAAGACTTCTATTTTGCTCCACATAATTATGTCGGTCGGACTGTTACGCATCGTAAAAGTACTAAAAACATATTTGCGCTTTTCGCTATGATATATGGCGGAAAGAATAGTATCTTCAATTTTAAACTAGACGCTCTCACCGCTTTGCCAAGGCCGGTACCCACCTGATGTGAAAGCGTTGGGCTGTACATCGTTCTCATACCAGAACCGGTCACCGCGCTTCAGATGAACAAACTGTTTTGTCAGCAGACACGTGAACGTCGGACCCAGGAGGCCGTCATGCAGCGGCTCTTCGGCTATACCGGCGGGAAACTATCAACATGGTCAAAATTATTTGTGATCGACCAGGTTCTTGAACGACTGCGACATACGTACCAGATCAATATCTTCTACCGTTCTAAAAGAAAGACAAATGTGTTTAATGCAGTATTAATGGTATTATGGATTCAAATTGCGAAGATATTATTTTACTCATAAACCGTCCGGAAACGTTCCACTACTTCCGCCCGCATCACATCCTTAAGGTCATCGAAGGCGTTCACTTTTGGCAGTCCACAGAATTCCCGCCAGGCGTTGTAAGGGGCAAACCTGAAATGCATCAGTTTGTTTTCATGGGTACTTCACATCTGTAATGCCGAAGATCGCGCAGGGTTGCCTTTACCAACCAAGCACAGCGGTCAGTCGGTCACTAATTATAAAGGGGCAATGCTGTAAATTTTATAAAACGCTACTAAACTTGAGCAATCAATATTTCTGAGCAATAATTTAAATTACAAAATTTTAAAAAAGTTATTTTACTAGAATATTACTTGGACAGCACAATGCACTGACGAACAGGAAGGAAAAGACGTAATTGGACCGTTTCGCCCATGCACTACGATCTCATATGCAATCTATAAGAGTAGATTTGCTGTAGTAATTAGGCCGGTACGTCGCATTATGGATAATGCATGCAATGAATTATAGGTAATTATGCATTTGACGTCGGCATTAATACTCGTATAAACTGGCAGAGTGTCATTTTATAGGTTGTATTATTAATATAATATGTTGTCAGACTTGATTTTAGGGTGTACCGTGATCCCGGCCACGCTGAATATTAATCGCCGCCAAATCCACTCCGAACTGATGGGGCTTCGACTCAAACAAATGCTCGGTGATCTCGCTGCTCATGAAGGTATCGCGTTTCTGAATGTTATCATTGATCATCCCCAACAAATACATATCCACCACGCCCGGCTGATACAGCGGATATGGTTTGAAGAAGCGTCCCGCAACTGCTTCTGCCCGATGTATTCGTGGTATTTGTTGAAGAAACGGAACCACGACGGGATCAACGTGTGCCCGAATCTGTAGTCAAACGCTGTATTCAGAAAATTAAAAGGTCACCGGGTGCTCCTTTACTGACCGTAACGCGGCGGTGGCGAAGACGTTGGCGGCGCTAGGATTGACGGTCTTATCGTAGCCGCCGTAAAGCCGGTAGGCAGCGGCAAAGGTCATTCTGGTACATGACGTCCTTGCCGAGAACCAGTGGTAGCCATTCGTTGTAGGTGATATGCTGGAGAATGGCGCCGACAATTTTCCTGGCTTCCTGGAATAACCGCTCATCATCCCAGTGGGCGTTCATGTAGTACAATTCCTCCGCGATGCGGTTGTGTTCCCGTGAAAACAAGATGTGCATCGTGGCCAGACCTGCATTCGTTGAAAATATTTTCATTTTATTGCAAATTTAAACTTTGTTGTACCGCAAATAAAATGGTTTAATTTTTTAGAAGAAACCTGAATGTATTATCATTAATTTTATTTTTTTTGCATTGTAAATTGAATCTCTGTAAAGACAGTTTTGAATTTAAAAGTATTCAGGTTTTAAAGTCTTTTTTTATTGCGTACTTTAAAAACTAACTTGATGTTAAAAATTATAGCAAGCTGGCAATCAGAGAAACTCGAACCAAGATGCGCATTTTTCGTCAAAGTACCGGTATTTTCGTTCACACGACTGTCGCCGGCCCGGAAGCACGGCAGCGATGCGGTAGCATCCGGACAGTCGCCGGTCTCTGGATCGGGTGGTAAGACATCCTTGTGACAATAATCAACGAAGACCGTCCGCAGTTTGCCGTACTGGTACGTCCGCATATTTTTCATATCGTCATAGGTTGATCCGTAAATCTGACTTCCGTCGATGAAGCTGGTTAGCTGATTCATTTGTTCACGCGGTCCTATCATTACATTTGCACACATTATGTGACGCAGATACCTATTTAAAATTAGATTTTGACAAATTCAGCCCCAACAAATAAATAATTACTCTCTTTCATCAATATTCTTAAAGCTGAATTATGAATTAAAATTAGAGGAAAAATACCGGGACTAATTGGAATTATGAAATCGTTGCACATTTTACATAAAATATTCCGCGTGACCTTTAATGTACCTAATGCGCATCCGGGCCGGGGCGCCGCTTCCGATCGTACGAAATTCATACAGCGCAAATTGTATTTTGCATAAAACTGATCCCCAGCCGGAATTTCAATGGGATAACACGCCGGATGTCCGGGAATTCCCCAGGGCACCTCGCAGCACTGAATATTAGCTGATTTACCGAAGCCGGTGGTGGTGGTGGGTGTGTGATTTATATCGTGATCCATAAACTGCAACAATAAAGTTGAGGTTTCTCGTTGAAGATGTACAAATACGCTGCGGGTGCTATTTATCCAACCTGTCCAAAGTGCATCAGAAGGAGAGTGTAGTGGCAGTGCGG